TATATATATATCTATATATATATAGATATATATATAGATATATAGATATATATACATATATCTATATATCTATATATCAGTTTATAGGTCTAAAAGGAGAAAAAATAATGACATGGCCCCCTTGTTCACCTGATCTGAACCCCATCGAGAACCTGTGGTCCTTCATGAAATGTTAGATCTACAGGGAGGGAAAACAGTACACCTCTCTGAACAGTGTCTGGGAGGCTGTGGTGGCTGCTGCACGCAATGTGGATCACAAACAGATCAAGACACTGACAGAATCTATGGATGGAAGGCTTTTGAATGTCATGGTGAAGAAAGGTGGCTATATTGGACACTGATTTGGTTATTTTTTGTTTTTGAATGTAGCAAATGTTTATTTCTGAATTTTGAGTTGTTATGTTGGTTTACCTGGTTAAAATAAACAAGGAAGATGGGTATATATTTGTTTTTTTTTATTATGTTCCCTTATAATTCTGCACAGTAATATTTACCTGCTGATGAAGCTCTGGTAGAAGATTGTTCTTCCTAAGTGGAAGAATTAGATGTCATCTGACACATTAGGAGTTCCTCAGATGGATCCACTGTGGTGAGGTCGTCTGTGAAGGGAGAGATGATGAGTGGGCAAAGAACATTGAGGGATCCAGGTAATTGTTTCCCAAGCAGGAATAGATGCTCCGCCGCCTCGCCTGCTTCTGCCAGACGGTCAGGAAGATGATGATGATGCACTAACAAGTGGGGCTGACACTGTGTACAATGCATTTTGAAATGCTATTTTCTTCACAATTTCATAGCTATCAATACACTGACAAGTCCCAAACATGCTGTTTTGGTTTGTGGAAAACATATTGATATTTCAATGTTTCTAGCACATTGCTGAATATATCTATAGACCAAAGGATTAGAATATGGAAAAAAAAGGAGGATGAATGGACTTAACAGTGAAATTAGTTCCATTATAAAATAGTATTGCTGATGGAAAGCCCCAAAGGTACAGTGCCATTGCTAAAGCACACATACCACTTTCATAATTTAGGAGGTGAGATCCCGTCATCCATTAAGTCTTTAATCACTTGTCTTCACTGAGCAAAAATCTACCTGGAAGTCATGTTTCTGGACTGTGGAGGAAGAATGGAGTGCACAGGCATGTACAGCGAGAATATGTTTCCTCCATGGAGAAAGATCCGGCTACGCAACCAGGACTTTATTGCAGGGATTTAGCAGATGTACCAACTGCTCCACAGTACATCTCAACATTAGATCCACAGACTTCCATTCATTTTGAAGAGTTTTTAGGTGACATACAGAAAGAAACAAGTGCATGACAGTAAAGTGGTTGGAAAATAATCCAGTTTCAATACTTTTAACAAACCAAAAATTTGACCATTTTGACTTGTATTGCATTCATCCCCATTTACTGTGTTCATTGTGAAAAAAAAAATCAAAGACATGGTTTTAGGCTATAAGATTAGCAGCTGTAATTACAGCAAAAGCTGTTTCAACTCAAAAGGGCTTGTGAAGCACAACAATACGTCAACCTGGGGATTTTATGGCTTGGGTGGTTCTACCGCATTTCAGCTTTTGGGCTCGTCTTGTTCTACAAATTTCTTCTGTCCCTTTATAAGACTGAAGGCAAGACCACCAACACAATGGGAGGGACTAATTTTGGTAGATTGATAACTTTTCCTCATTCGTATTGTGTTGAAAGCTGAAAATAAGGGTTTGATGTAAATCAAACAAAACAAAAAATTCTTTGATGGCTAAATGGCTGCAACAACTTCTTTAAAACTGCAGGTCTTTCAAGGTGTTGTTTGTCTGATCACATCAACACTGAACCGTCCAAGACTTTAATCACCACCAAACCCTCATTCGTCTTCTATTTAGGAAAATTACAACAAAAGTCCAAAAGCTGGTAGAGTCCAGCTGAATGTAATTTAGCAATATCATGACAGCTGTTTTCTGCACAATGTTTGCCTGCATTCTTAACTCCGCCCAAAAACACGTATGTTACATCAGTTGGCTACCTTAAAATACTCTGTGGAATAAGTGTGTGATTTCACAGTGCTCACCACAGTATTTGTGGACTAACAACCTGTCCAGGATGTGCTTATTGGACACTCACAAGAATTGCAGCTGTAATTGCAGCAAAAGCTGACTCAGCACACAAGGGCTTGATAAAAATGCACGCCACACTTTCCAGATTGTTATGAATTTTGCTTTTTATTTGCAGCTTTCATTATTCCTTTCTGCTTCATACTGAAGTATTACTTTATCATTGATCTATTATATAAAATCATAAAATCTCATAAGACATAAAATCTCAATAAGATACTTTAAAGTTTGTGGTTGTGAAGTGACAAAATGTGTAAAGATTCAAAGGAGATGTTTACTTTTGCAAGGCACCCTATAAGTCACCACATTAAAGCTGTTTAAAAACAGATTACTCAGAAACCATGAAGTTTCCCCCCTAACCAAGAGAAAATTGTCTTTCTAAATGTTGAACACATTTTGCAATGGCTTTAAGACACATGGGTCTTTTGAATATATAAAAAAGCCAAATGTTTGTTTAATTTATCTCTGTAAATGTAACCCTCCACTTGCTGATTTATGACGCCACGATACTCTTTAAAAATGTCAACAACTCTTAGAGCCATGTCGCTGATGTGAGGGCGCTAATATTTATCCTATTGTTTGGTTAATTCCCAAGTTCATCTGCAAGGCATTAGATCGTCAACAGTATAAAGCTCTTTTATATTTTAGAACATTTAAAAGCAAGATGAAAAAAAACATAAAGAGGTTGGAAATTATTTGCAGTGGTCTTCTAAGAAGAGGAAGATTGATCCCGTCAGTGGACCGACCACAACACAGCCAATCTGTTACCCACATGACTTCATGTATGTTCCCCAAGAAGTCTGACAGAAGACCTGAGGAGATAATGGAGAATCAAGGCTATATTCTGTCAGCAAGGATCAAATCAGATCAAAGCTAAAGTCAGACCTAAAAGACAACAGGACACGTGGCACTGACAGATGGAGAGGTGTGAGGAGAAGGGCTTCAGAGCCCCTATGACTGGCTGACCGGCAGCTACACCCAAACACAAAGCCAACAAGAAAGGGAGAAAAGACTTCTTGTCGGAAACTGTCACCATCTGAATAAACAACTAAACAACTGGCTTCCTTCCTAACTCAACAGGACAGAGGCTTTAAAATTTACTGGATGGAGAAGGCTTTATTTTTTTCTGTATCAAGGTGCTTAAAAAAAAAAATGTAAAATTAATCAATTTAAGCTTCTTATGTACTTTCCTACTTTCTCCTTTCAGCTAAACACATCATAATGTTAATAGTTTACAATCTTCACTCTAGTTGTTTTCCTTTTGCAAATTCTTGAAATGCAGACACTGTCTTTGCAGAAACATTCCTCTCTTACAATCCTCATTTTGTGTTCTGTTTGGATTTTGAGAACCAGAGCAACACAAAGTAAAGTCTAAATGTTGAAAATATATTTCAAATGCTTTTTAAGATAAAACATAAAACTATGCGGTGACTCAATGCTTTATTGACAATAGAAGTTATATTATTTATTGGCAATGTTATCAACCATCTTTATAGATCAAGGAAGATACATTTTTAGCCCCTTTGTATTTTAAAAAATACCATAGATCATCTGACCATCTCTTCTGCTTCCTTTTGATGCTGCTTCTATCGTGCTTCAACCTGGGTTTTTGAGTACTTCATGTTTTAACCTTGTGTTGTTGTGTTGGCAAAATGAAAACCACACCGCTTTAACCATGAAAGGGATGTTTATTACATATGCTACTTACTCATCAGGCTATACTAAAGACCGCCAAAAGAACATGAGGGAACGTTGGTTATGGATTTGATTTTTGCTCCAGTTTGTGGATTGAGTGTATTTGGCAGATTGATAACTTTTCCTTATTGGTATCGTGTTCAAAGCTGAAAATAAGGTGAAGTCTAAGAATTTTATGTGAATTTGAAAATCTGTAATTGGCTAATTGACTGTGACAGCTTCTCCAAAGCTGCAGCTCTTTCAAGGTGTTGCCTTTCTGATCATATCAACACTGAACCTCCCAATACTTTAATCAGCACCAAACCTTCATCCTTGCTCTATTAAGGAAACATAATGATTAACATATTGTGTTTTTTTATAATGATAAATGAACACTTTAAAACATTTAACCTTTTAAAGGCATTTAAAGGATTTCACTTATGACAGGGATTAAATGTAGGGTAGTTTTTATGAAAACTTAAGTATTTTACACTCAGAAAATATGTGGAAGAAAATTGAGCTATTTGGATTTATTGTATTTTTGTGGTAAAATGACTCAGGGTGCCTCTCTGTTACAGGGCATCTCAAGCATTTAGGCTCAATCTGAACCCAACAAATCACTTGGAATTTTTTAGCAAGAGTGCCAAGTGCATCAGCATGATAAGTGCTGTCTGAATAGTGCTGGATGAAGAAAAGGAAGTAGTTAAAATCACCTGTATCCTCCCTATTGCTACCTTTAGCAAAGGGAGATCATCAGATTCCCACCTGGTGCCAAGGAGCTATACGGATTCCGAGTCCTTTGCTTGAGAGGGCGTATATACACAGCCCCCTTCACGGAAATTACATCAATGCTTCAAGTGTACTATGTGTGACACATGAAGATGAACAAACCATCATACAGTTTTGGTTTGATACAGTTTCAGCCTTTTGCTACTGTTGAATACCTTTATTTTTAGTTGTTCATGTCCAGAAGGTTGTAGTCCCAATTTGGCTGGCATGCTGCATGTGCGGTTCTGTTGATGTCTGACAAGCTAAAGGCTTATATGGCACAGCAGTCCAGAGTTCCTTTCCTACCCACATCATTCTACTGTTGACCCCATGAAACGTGAAGGAACACCTACACCGTTTGCAGTTTTAAAACTGAACCTTGGAGATTATAGGTTAGTTGTCCCTGATTGACTTTTCTCATGTTTATTGTCATAATTGTTTTTTTAGGGACTGGATGCTAGGGAAGGCAATGGAGAATCTAGTTTGAGATTCATTAAACTATATGATTTTCATCGCAGTTTTTATTTTTAGGATCATGACTATAAAGTTAGATCAAGAACGACATAAAAACTAGAGTGAAGGCCTCACCCAGGAACCAACGCTGGTTTTAAATCTGCTTGCCTTTCCAGGAAAAATAAGACATTTTATTTTTAGTTTAAATGATTAGTAAGTCATGCAGGAATGACCGATTGAGTAGAGATCCATTCATGTCTCATATTCCCATGTTTGCACTTACTGACATGATTTAAACTCTATCAGTGACCTTTTAACCCCTAGAAGCACAAAGTCATCCTCACAAACAACTTGAAAAGTCAGGTTTTCGTTTCCAGCTCATATAAAGAGTAAAAACATGTGCGTGAAGCTGCATAGCTATATGACCTTCTCCACCCCTCATACACAGCTCTCAATCAACACTTCAAAGGCTGGGTGGTCATGTGATGACACAACATCAAAGGGACGGAGTGCATGACTAAACCTAGCCGATGGGCGTGCCATGCTATAGCTAGAGCGCGCTCAGGTTATGGGGACCGAATCCCCGCAAGGATCATCGGCCAACCACAACACAGCCTGATTGGCCCACGGGAATGAGAGGAAGGAGCGGGTGGGAGGGAAGTCACTGATAAAAACCCTCTTATTCTGGGAATCAGGAGCGTTTAGAGCAGGAGGGCAAAAAGTGCGCAGAGGTTTTCCCTGCGCGCGTAACCGAATCTGTGCGTAAATCGGGTTATTCTAAAAAAACAGCTGTTTCCCTCTTAATGGAGCAATGGAGATCCACGATCTGCCCTCATTCAGTCCACCGTGATTGATCGATCGCTTCCAGGAGGACTTCATGTGCTTAAACAAGACTTCCCATCTCTCCATATCCCATAAGGAATGCTGGGTTTGATTCGGGCCCGGCTCACCTAGACTCCCCTGTAACAGCAAGAGATGAGGAGCCGAGGGGGTTTAAGAAAGTCAGCCGGGCTGTCAGCGGTGCGCTCCTGCCTGCTGCTGCTCTTCATCCATATGGGCTCTCCGGTGGAAGCGCGCAGGGTGCGCGGCGGCCGTGCGCAGCCCAGGCGGGTGCAGCTGCAGCAAGCGGAGCAGCAGCAGCGGGCGGAGGGTCCGGAGAGCTTCCCATTAGACTTCACAGCCGTGGAGAGCAACATGGACAACTTTATGGTGCAGGTTAAGAATCTGGCGCAGTCCCTGTATCCGTGCTCTGCGCAGAAGCTCGAGCAAAACATGAAGCTGCACCTCCTGAATAATGCGTCTGTGACCTGTAACGACGGGTCACCTGCGGGGTAAGCGCGCTGCTGGAGCTTATCTTTCATTAATGATGAAAGGATTTTATATCAACTTATAGATATTCCATCTGCGGATGTGAGCAAAGTGAATCATCTGAACTAAAACTACATCTGAGAAAATCAAAGAAAATTAATTGAAATGTTTATATTTACTGGGATTTTATTTGATGGATCAACACAATTTGCAGTCTCAGTTTCAGTTTTCCACCACAGATACTACAATGAAAAAAATAATGCAACTGGTTTTGGCATTTACTTAATTATATTAAGTTGCTTTAACACAATTGTAGGGCAAAAAATAATTGTGTTGAAGTAACTAGATATGATTAAGTAAAGGCCAAAAGCGGGTGCATTATTTTTTTTCAGTGTATTTCAGTGTGGCAATTTTTAATGAAGCTTTCTTCTTGTCAGTCATCCAGATCTGTGGAGTGCAGAACTAACAGGTGTCTGTTTAATATAAAGCACCTGAGATTTGGATCTCTGCATCTGTGTCTCTGCATCTGACTCTCTTTCCTGTCATTTTATGTTAACATAATTTGCTGTACCCTGTGGGATGTTTAAAGGTTCCAATGTTTTTATTTTTAATCTAACACTGTTTCCACATATTTTGTCCCAAGCTGAATGCTCCTCCATTTGTTCCCTGATGTTCTCCAACAGAGCTTTAAGTCCCCCGTAAAGCGGCTGCATTCATAATCACATTAAATCAAACACTGACAGGCTCTGTCAACAATTAGGACTCCCTGAAGGCACCAGATTTTATTTCGGGGATCAGATTAATTGGAGCTAAAATCAAATATATGCCATAATTTTAGATTATTCTTATTTGTAAACCATATATCAGTATTTCTCTGTGTTTTGTAATATTACATAAAATCCCAATAGAATTTATTAATACTTGAGCTTGCAAGTGCTGTATATAAATATATGACCATGTTGCTCTCCAAAATAACCATGGCAACGAGTTTCAATATGACAATCATTTTCATCTGCATAGGTTAGTCGTTTGCTGTCTCACATTTTGCATACTTAGTCCTGGTGCTTTGGATTGTTAGATAACTGTACACATATCAGGTGAATTTATTTATCTATTATTGAGTTTTGTAAGATGAATAACTTTGATTAATATATCAGTGAGGATGGTGATTAAGTTGCAGCTTTAGGTCATGCAAATGTTAAAAATGTGGCTATATTTAATTTCAATATAAAAAAAAAAAAAAAAACTATTATTAACGCTGCAGTATCAATAGAAGGGGGGGCTCTATATGGCTAAAAAGGATTACATGGTTGACATTTAATGTTCATGTTCAGGTTCTACATCAAGGAATCCAAAGGCAGCAGGCGGTGGCTCCTGTTCCTGGAAGGTGAGGATGGACCCTTGAAATAATGTCAGCTTTGTGGAGTTTATTGAGGAGCTCATTGTGTGTATGTGTTTGGTGCAGGTGGATGGTACTGCTTCAACAAACAGACCTGCAACAGCAGATATGAGACCATGAGGAGTCTGATGAGCTCCACCCAGTGGCCTCAGAGCAGAAGAGGTACGATTCTGTCACTGCACATCAGTGCCTTACCCAGTTTGTTGTGTTTTATAAGCCCCTAAGCACTCGCATAGCTTTTCCCCTCAAAGAGAGGGAAGAAAACTTCCTCGGCATGGTCAGGATTCATGCTGGTGTTAATCTTAAAAGCCAAACTCTTGACAAAATCCTTCTGTTTTTCAAGCTTTTTCCAGGAGCATAGTTCTCCAAACAGATACATCTTCCAACTCCTTCATGTTTTTATTAGCCCAAGCTTAAAAAACCTGTTGACTTACCTGCTGCAATAAAGATATATTCATAGGGTCCACAAAGATGAACATGATCAACGATATGAGCTTTATCCTCCTCCTACTAATGGTACCGTGTGTTTTCACAGGAACAGGTATTTTGTCTCCAGAGCCAGAGGAAAACCCTCACTGGTGGAATGCCAACATGGTGTAAGAATTTTACTTTTACTNAAACCCTCACTGGTGGAATGCCAACATGGTGTAAGAATTTTACTTTTACTTATTTTGTCCATTTCCAAGTTCTCAAAAAAAAAAAAAAAAAGAAAGAACAAACAAACAACAAAAAAAAACTTCATACACAAAAAAATGACATCTAGGGAACAAAAGCATCCAGATAGATCCAGAAGATATTTGCCTTAAAACAGAGACTACGATTGTCAAGTCCATCTTTTCCTGCAAGTTGATTTTTTTTTTATCATTAAAGCCATAAAAACTGCATTATGCATATTTAAAAACGCCTTTTGTTTTTATAATGAAAAACGTGTGATCATTTTAGGATCAAGGCAGATAAACATAATTTCAATTAACATATTTATCTCTTTGCAGCTGAGAAAAGCTTTCCTATGGAAAGCAGAAGCTTAATCAGATTGAAAACATTTCAGAAAAGAAAATGACATAAAAGGCTAAAACCATAACATTTTATGATTAGTAGTAATGAGTTCCTAAGTTCTGGGGAGATGCAAGAATCGGTCAGTCATAGATTGGAACTGGCTAACTTTCTATGATCGATTTGTAATCAGCACGTCAAAAACTACAAAACAACAACAAAAAATACGTTCATCCTACCAATTTTAGTCAATAAATACATCAACACCTGCATGCACTTTGTGTGATGTTAATTAAAATCAGATTAGACATGCTTTCATGCAAAAGATTAATCTGGATTTTTTTTTTTAAATCTTCTGTTAGATCTAAAAGCACCTTCCTCAATCCAAAATATGCAGCACTTGTTTTTTATCCCCTTCTATAAATTCTAGCTCATTGAAATAACACCCTGAAAGAGTCAAAATTGAAATTAGACCAGGAGAAGAGTAATTTGTGCATCTCACAATTATTGTTATAATGATGATGATTTTGCAGCTTTAACAAACAATATAGTGAGTCTGGTTGCCTTTACTGTGTCAGAGCAGATTTGCTCAACTAAAGGAGGGTTTAAGGTACAAAAGCAGTGAAGTGCAAAAGGTATAGAGATAAAAAAGACAAAGAAGTTTCCCATAACAAAATACAGCCCTTAGCTCTAAAATAAAAACATATTCTCTGTTCTTTATTCACTCTACTGTCATACAGCCACATTAGATTAAATTGAATATTTATCAGTATCAACAAACTGCTGTGAGTCTGGTTTTAACCTCGGCTGCCTTATTTACTGTTTCCTGCAGTTTTATTCCTTACTGCTCCAGCGATGTGTGGAGTGGAGCCACGCCAAAGACAGAGCAAAGTAAGGCTCACAAAATCAGATCAATCACCATGTTCTGAGGTATACCGTTTGATTTTTTTTTTTTTTTTTTTCATATGTGGGTTTTTGGAAGCCGCAACAAGAAACAAAAGTAGATCTAATTATTTTTGATCAGTTTCAGAGAGAGGGATGTTTGTACATATGTGAGACAGGATTCTGCAGAGGCACATATCTGGGAAAGGAAACTTCTGTTACTTTGAGGAAACGGGGAAGCATGAACACTGCAGTATTTAGGCCTTCATTGACCATATTGGAGACATTTTCTCATTAAAGCGGAAATTAAAGTCCTTTAAAAGACTGCCAAAAAGCAGCAGAGTGACTTGTAGACTATAAGATACAAAATCATGTGAGAGAAACTTGAACTTTTTAGCCCCTTATCCCGGCTGTGTGAAAGCCATCCAGAGGGAAGCGACCACCCACCTATTAATGCCATCCCTGCTGCTATGAAGCACAGCAGCGTTTTGCAGCAGTCTTTGTGTCTTTCACACAAGCCTCCCAACAGTTTTCAGGGTGAAGGCGATCATGGACGCAGATAAGTCAAATACAAGCCAAAGTGAAAAGTTGTTTCAGCGTGCTTGGAAGCAAAACCTGGCGCTTTTCATTTTAACAAGATTACAATTTGAAGCAAGAAACTAGGAAAGAAATCAAAGAAGAATCTGCAAACAAACAGGAAAGACTAGACCGAGTAGAGGAATTTTGGAGGGATCTGAATCCTAATGATCAAATCTGGTTTGATTTAATCATTAAATAAACAACCATGGAAGAAAAAAAAAACCTTTGAGGAAAGGCCTAAAAAACCTTTTGGCTCCTCTGTGAAGAAAGTTGCATTGCTGCCAAAGGTGCATTTCACCGATAGTGATTTAACAATGTATCACATGCAGTTTAGGTTTGAAGTTCACTTGGTCTCGTCACAGACAAGTTTCTTCAGTGGATTTTGCCATTTATCTTAACCATTATTTCAGATCAGTGCCAATTTAAACATTTTTTATTTATTTTTCTTTTTTTTTCTGCTCCTTCGAGACTCAAATATATACATACACCTCCACTAACGTTTGGTTAAATGCAGATTCACTAGCGAGCACTACACCACAAAGATATAGTATGGAATTTAGGATTCACTGAAGGAAAAGGCAGAAAGGGGTTGGATTGGATGTGATTATGAGTCATCTGGGGAGACTTGGTGATGAAGGCTATTCCTGAGCCACATTAGAATAGAAAGTAGAGATAAAAGAGACAGGATGAGGAAGAGGAAGAAGAATGAGGTTGAAGGGTGAGGGAGTTTGGGGTTGAAAGAGCGTAATAGGCTGTGAAGGATTGCTGCACCGAGTTAAAGTACATTACTGAGTAGTTAGAGGTTTGGTTGATGCATTGACCTAATCTTGGACTGAAGATATTTTGTTAGCTTTTTTACAGAACAGACCACAGATAAATTTCTACCACCTATTTGAGACTGTCACCCTCACCTGAAAGAGATCTAGTTAAAGAGAGCAGAAGAAACCCGGGAACCATCAGGGGTTCAAGCTTCTTGTAGGCTAATCTAGAAACTGTAGGTACAGCGGAATCACAATCCTCAGCAAAACTTGTTTTATTTCCATGGACTGTGCGCTGACCAGGAATTAGAACTCAGCCCTACAGCAGATATCTGTTGAGGTTGCAAACTGAACTGATTGAAATCCCACATTCCCCCTGGAGATAACTCGAGTAAAAAAAAAAAAAAAAAAAAAAACAATAACACTTTGAAGAGTCTTTAAACCTTAAAAATACCTTCATAAATGTCAAGCACAGTGGCGGTAGTGTCATGCTGAGGTTGTTTCACTGACAGTGGATGCATTGAGCAGTGAAGTTGAAATCATGAAAGAGAACTACTTACTAGCGCCCCTACTGCCAGATGGTTCATGCTTGGACACAGTGGTGTTCTAACAGGACATTGACCTCAGCCACACATCAAAGCTGGGCTTGAATGGATAGAATAGTCTAACATTAAGTTTATGGACTGGGTTTGACCTCAACCCTATTTAGAATGGATAAATTAGGCCTTAAACCTTGAGAGAGAATACTGATTTAAACAAACCCCACCAACTGTCACACATCCAGGCTAAACTATGCCTCACTTGGGTTTCTGGTAGTGAAAGGAGCATATTTTCTAAGAAACCTGCAGAGGCACATGTAATCCTGATCCCAAATAGTGATATCTATAATTATTAAAATAAAGCACTCTAAACAGATTTTAATCCTCTTGTCGGTTTTGCTTCCTGAGTCGTTCTGCAGCCTGAAGAAAAAGGACTGTCAGCATGATAAAAGGCAAATCGCAATAATTTCTGACATTTATCGGTTTTTTACAGGGGGGCAGATGCAATGTGTTATTGTCTGTAGTTTATTGATAATGACAGAAATGCTGATATTACCCATACGGTAATGATCCATGATCCATACTGTGCAATAAGCATAGACCTCCATCATTAATAGACGTGTAATGTCCCAGGTTGCGTCTGACAGCCAGCAGATTAATATTTCTATTCTCAGGTGATTACGCCTTCATGGGCTCTCTGATCATCAAAGAAGTGGTGAAGGACCTGCTGACTAAAGGTCTGGACAAAGCCAAGGTTCTGCTCCTGGCAGGCAGCAGGTAAGTTGACCAGAAGCATGTTTTCTGTTTTTTCTTTCTTCCTCTAGTTTCTCCTTCTGAATGCACTCTTGGTGTCTCCAGCGCTGGTGGTACAGGCGTTCTGCTGAATGTGGACCACGTGGCAGAGCAGCTGCAGTTGGGTGGCCACAGGGGAGTGCAGGTTAGGGGCCTGGCCGACTCTGGATGGTTTTTGGACAACAAACAGTACAAATTCACTGACTGCTTGGACACCATCAGCTGTGCCCCCACTGAGGCCATTAAGAGAGGCATCAGGTCAGACATTGACAGAGCTGGGAAAGAAAGAGTGTCTGAACAGAGGAAGTTTTAACGTGCTGATAACTTTGGGTTTTTCAGGTACTGGGGTGGACTGGTACCAGAGAGCTGCAGACAGGCTCACGTGGGTGAGGAATGGAACTGTTTCTTTGGATATAAAGTGTACCCAACATTGAAAAGTGAGTCACAAACATTCCTAAAGCCTCTGTAGAAAACACTAGAAGGACATGCTGGGGTCTGATCCTTGGTCCGTACCGTTCAGGTCCAGTGTTTGTGGTGCAGTGGCTGTTTGACGAGGCACAGCTGACCGCTGATAATGTCCACCTGACCGGACAGCCTGTTCACGAGGGCCAGTGGAGGTACATACAGAACCTTGGTCAGGAGCTGAGGAGCACACTCCAGGACATACCGTAAGGTTTACTGATGTTCCCAAACCAACATACACCCAAAAATAGTGACAGCTTTCTGATACGCTGCTGTGTCTTTAATTGGCAGAGCCATGTTTGCTCCAGCTTGTCTGTCACACGAACTCATAACCAGAACGTAAGTAAAAACATTGATTCCTTCAAGATCCAATGATATACTGACTCATAACTAATAGTCATCGTCGGTGAAACATGAAACATCAGATATATTTTCCTTTTCAGTGCAAAAAAAAAACAGATTTCCCTAAAATGAAAAACTATTTATTTTTTTTTTATATAAACTTAAGAGGCTTCTCTTTTGACAAAAACCCACAACTTGCATGGCTTGACAGTTCTGCCAAAGGTTCACATAAACCCATTGAGGGGTTCATTGTTTTACATTTACATACAGCCCCAACGATATCAGGTTTACTGCTACCTAAGCAAGCCGAGCCTCACACATCTTGTAGCCATTAGCAAGCTTCTTGCACATTTCTGGCTGGATATGGGACTGCTCTTCACAAATTCAGTTAAACTAGTTTGTTCCAGTCCAGACATTTCGCATGCTCTTAACGTTAGCCAGCTTTTTCAGTTTTGGTGTAAGCTTAGTAACACTGCCCTGTTGGAAGATCAAGGTGTTTGTTTGAGGAGACATTGAAGAACTTTGAGAAGATCATCTCCATTTATATTATTCCACCCTTTTGTGCAGTACAACCACCACCACTGGCAGTATACCAAAACCCTCAGCATGATGCTCCCACCACCATGCTGGACAGTTGGTTGAGTGTACTTTAGATTGAAGAAGCTCACCAGCTCTCCTCCAAACATTCCTCATGTCATTGTAAAAAACCTGATAGTTTAATCGGATTTGTCCAACCATTAAACCTTTCCAGAGAAAGAGAAAATGTCTCTGATTGTAAGCACTCTCCCAGTTCACAACAATGCAAAATCTGCACTTATGTTTCTACAGTTTCAAGTTTATAAGCACAAATCTTAGTTTTCCTTGAGTCGAAACTTAAAACCCTGACCTATTCCCATTACACCTAAGGGAGTCCAATTAGGATCATATGGTTGAAACCTGGACAACATGAGGATCTTACGGGAGGATGTCCCCAAACATTGGTTTTAAAATGGATGAAATGTGATAATATCAAGTTTCCAGGAAGGGCACGACTTCAACCCTTATGAAAAGATACAACGCTCATAAGCCAGCATATTGTTAGAAAGAAGCTCATTTTAAAAGAACTTTCTCATAAGAACAGCTACCAAATATCAATGCAGAATTATGCCGGAAGCTTGGAGATGACTGATTAGAAGAAATTAATTCCCTGCACATTGCTAAGGGACACTTACTCAAATGATGTAAGCGTCTGTGTGGATAGATTGATAGATCAGCATAACCATAAATAAAAAATATAAATTCCAATTGATGAATTCTTGTGTTTAAAATGATCCTGACAGAGAGGAACAGGGCGAATACAGATTGAAAGGCCACAGATGAGACATTAGCACCCTCCTGTAGCAACACTTGGTAGAAGCACTAATGAGAGCAGAGACAAAAGGCATGAGGAAAGATGGAAAGTTGTTTTTATTCATAGACGTGCAGACAAAAGTTTGGTGCACTGTGAGGATTTACCACAGACACCCAATCACACATGAAGAATGGATTTATTAACCCTGTTCTGTGGTTTGATATCAGTAAAGAGGTATTTAAAATCTTTATGTATCCGGAATGGCTGAGGTTAAATGAACGTGTTCTGAAGTATCCTGGATTACAGATACACCAAGGTGGATGCATTCATATCGTCCTCAATCCCCAAACAGAAAATCATAATTCCACTAAACTTGTTAAAAGGATTAGTCCTCAAAATGAGGGATTTTTAAGCCTCTGACAAAAAAGTACCCATAAAACCAAACCTATTCACTGCAAAAATTGAAATCTAAGTAAGTTATTATTTCTTAAAATTAGTGCATTTTGTTCTTGAATTAAGGAGGTGAGACACTTTCCCAATGGAACAAGAACATTTACCTACAAAATTAGAAAAAACAATTACATTGTCTTATTTCAAGTGCGTATTATCTAATTATCTTATTTAAAGAGTAAAAATTCACATTCCATTGGCAAATCATCTTATTTACCTACTTAAATTAAGGCTAAATATACCAATTTTCAACATATTTCTAAAATTGTTTTTGCAGTGTTGACCTTTGCTGTTGCAAACAAACCCTGTAGCAGCAAATGCAGACCCATCCACTGATAAAAGTTGTCCCTGGATAAGTCTTTGGAGCTTGAATACAGCTGGAGTTGGATTTATTTAATCTGTTCAGTGGGGCTGGGCGATATGGCTATAAAACCCATCTCTGATTGTTTTCATACATAATCAGATTGGGGAGTTTTTTCCTCACTTAAGTTGCATAATAAAAACTACATATCACATATAATGCTTTCTAAAACTAGCTTTAATTTCAATCATCCCCACCTAGTGGTAATAATTCAAAGTGCTAACAGGAAAACATAACATACATAAAATACTCTTTGGTGATCTGTTGAGGTTATGGTCCCTCATGTTGTTTACTACCTAAAGTTTCATTTGTCATGTCCTCCTATTTTTGTAAAATAACACTTCAGGGCACACTTTGTTAATGTAAAGATTTTAAAGGGTTAATATAAGAGTTGATGACATCTTGGACAATGTTTTCACCTCATATATCAATGTGCAGGTACTGGATGGACGTCCAGGTGAAAGGCACCTCTTTGCCCAGAGCACTCCACTGCTGGGACCGCAGCCTGCAGAGCAACCTGCACCTCAACAGCAGCCACAGCCTTAAAAAACCCAGGACCCCTCCGCTGAGGGGATGCCCCCTGCATCTGATCGACAGCTGCCCATGGCCGCACTGCAACCCGTCCTGTCCGACCATCAGAGATCAGCTGACCGGACAGGAGATGAGCGTGGTCCAGTTCCTGAAGCACATGGGCTTTGACGTGCAGAAGATGGCTGAGCAGCAGGGAATGGACCCCAAAAGGCTGCTGGACATGCTAAGTAATGGGAGCTGAGCTGCTTCTGTTTACCGACATGAGTCCTGTTGTAGTTTCCAGTCTTTAAAAGCAAATGGACGACATGAAGAGGAAAACCCTTTTAACCCTGATGGTTCAGTAACTTAACCATGTGAACATTAAATGCCTCATATATTTGAAAGACTGAATTATATACAACCAAACCAGAAAGTTAAAGCTGGTTAAAAGCTTTATATGGGATCAACATACGGTAGATATATTATAAGTGAGGAGGTGGCTACAGACAGTATAACACAGGAGCATCTCAGTATGATGGAATGTAAAGTTAATTTATTTCAATAAGTCAAAACTGAAAGATTTTTCTTTTCTTTCTTAAGTTTGATTATTACAGTTAGTAGATAATAAAAAAAAAACTAAAGATCAGTATCTTCTAGAATGTGAAAAATACATAACGTTTTTTTTTGCATGAGCTGCTGTATCAGTGGAGGTTTGAATGGAGGATATCAGCCTATGGTTTTGCTAAGGTGTAATGGCCAAATGAGTTTACTGGTACATCGGACATGGTGGCACCATGGTCACTGATCAAGCTTCTGGAAGATTCAGCAGGTACCAAGTTCTGCTGAAAAATGTCTGTAAAGTTTGCCAGCTGCAGTAAGAGTTCTAAAACAGGGAAGACACCTGATTAGAGATTATGTGTCTCTAGTCTTCCTCCAGAGTCAAACCTTGATTTTCTAATTAAATGCACAACAAACTTTCACCCCAAAGGGCTTCAGACCACTGAGAAACGGCTCAGTTATTTTCTTCTTATCCCTGATAAGACACTTCTAATACTATAACCCATCCCCAGGTTAATTCTGGGTTGGGTATATAACTCTTGAACAGGCTTAGCTTCATCAGAAATACAAAGCTGCAGTTTGGTCTTCCAGTAAACTTTTCATGAAATCTGAATGGAGCACTCCAGCACATTTTTCTAGTAATTTTGTGGCTCCTTGTGAAGTTAAGAAGTTCCGTCATTGGTTCACCAGAATGATTCAAATAGTCTATATTTATGCCTCAATAAGCAAAACGAAAACAAATCTATGCTTGGAATACAGCCCTTTGTATGATAACTCCATATAGGCAAATTTCACTTTTTTTTATGATATTAATTTTTTACAATTGAGTGGATGGATAAAAGTCTCATCTATGGTGCTGAATTATCTATTCACCACATATGCTGCTTTTTAAACCAATTATATGGGTGTTTACTAAAAAAATAAAATGCAACTCTGTTCTAGAGCCTACAGTTCAGTGTTTTATTTATTTTCAAGACCAGTTGTACTTTTTACTTGCATGCTTGTAATAAATACCTGTATGCTTGTGGAACCATTTGTGTTTATAGAATTTTCATATACCAAATGGTTCTCATCTTATTAAACAAAATAAGTACAGAGACCGGGTGATATAGTAAAATGTAATTTACTTACAAAAGAATAGTGATGATTTCACTATTTAAAAAAAACAAATATTTACACTATACATTTACACCAACACACCCCGGAAAATAAAAAGTTTTACCTATGGTGCAACTAATGAAATATTTAATTTACACAATTTGTAAAACTTCACAGTTAGCATCAAAGTGCTCCTTTGAGAAATAAAATCAAAACATATCAACCATACATACAGACTGATCTGCTTGATACTTGTTTAGCTTCTAAAAAAATATCACATTTAATCCTATGATGCTTAATTTTGTTGTTCTTTGATCTTAAGCAGAAGCTTAACGTAGTTGAGTCATTAAAAAATAAAAACACACATGTATAAAAGCTTTTTATATTGCTGTATAGAAAAACAGACAAGCACCGCAACCGCTTCAAGTTCATGATGGCTTTACTCTGAGCTTTTCCAGTTACAAACCCAGTGGTGGAAGATTTCTCAGACAATTGAGGAGGTTTATTTTCCAGAAGCTGCAGCTGCCTCATCATCCAGAGTCCTGCAGCAATAAAAACAGAAGAAATGTTTAAAAACTACAGAGAAATAAAAGGCTTGTTTCTTTTTCCAGCAGAATCTCTGCAAGCAGATAGTAGGACAGTAGGTATTACAGTATGCAGCTGTTTAATCCTCGCAAATAAATATATCGAAATTCCATTAAAACATTAAATTGTATCCTTCAATCATATTTACTCTGCTACAGCACTCACTAAATTTGTGAAAAGGACAAACCCAACATGACACCATCACAGCACAGATTTAATATCACAATAAAAAAACCTAAAGCATATCTTAAACATTTATATTACTACAAACGTTTTGAAGTATATGGCCATTTTAATAGCCTACTTATAAAAAAAATTAATTAACAGCCACATTTTAGCAGTGCTGCTTTTGGGTTCTGACAGCTATCGGACCCAGATCAGATCATCACGCAGCAAAAACCCAAATTAAATCCAACAGTCCAGCTTAATAATATGCAGAACTACATGCCAAAATGAAGAAAAACTCATTCTGTAGAGTTTTTAAGGCTCATCCAAATCAAATATCTCTCTTTAGTGGCAGCAGATTGAATCCATACATCACCTGTGTATGAATGTACTCCCCCCTTATCGTCTTGTGCTTAGTTCTGCCCTTTTCAGGTTAAGCAATGCAGGATTTCCCTGATTGACTAATAAAACATCCTTGATTAATTCTATAAACAGATTCTACAACTGCAGAAGACAGGGTTAAGAAAGGGAAAAGCTAATAGACGATGACGTAGATACTTCTTCCTAGAATCTGCCTTCCTAAGCTTCTAGGAAACTTACAGCTAAACACTCAGGAACCCAGTCCAAAAGTGCCCAAATTCAGCAACAATAACAATAACTAAATTTATTTGGATTAAGACTGACCTGACTTGTGAGCCTTCTTGCTGGAGTCCGTTTCTTCTCATGGATGGACTGAAGTTTAGAAATTAGGAACTTTTTATCCTCTCCCTCCTACAAGGAGAAATGAAATGTCAGTTTGGGAAATGTGACAATCTTGCTGAGGCCCGGCGTACGCGTTTTTTTCTGGGCAATTTCCTGCGATTAGTCGTACAGTGTGAACAGTAGCTGCGTGCAACGACTGAAAAAAAAAAATTGCACAGTGTACGTACGGCTTAATGAATTAGACTGGGGACACAGGTGCGTGTGCATTTTTGTTTATCTCAGGATTATTTTTTGTATATTTACTATACCTGAGGATCAGAGGGGACTAAAAGCCTGTTGGTCATGTCTATATAGGTCTATCTAATGTGGAGAAGCCCCATTTTTAATGTTAAGGAGTCAATTTGTAGGTGTAGTGTGAAATATAATGGTAATGATTGAGGTAAATGTTAGGCATAAATGCAGTAACTAAAATGGATATAAGTCAATGTAAATTCCTAATATGGATAGAAATAAAACATGTGTACAGCCAAAGCAATGTCTTACATTTTCTATCTGCTCCTGCAGCAAAGTGATAATCTTCCGTTGACCGTCAACAACCTGACTTTGGAAGTAGATGACTATCCTGAGGAAAATAATAAAAACAGAATGGTAAAAGCCTGCAGGGTGTAATTAGACAAGCTGCAATTTGAGGGTGTTTCTGTATGAGTGTTTGCTCACAGAAAGATGCCTGCCCCCACAAAAAGGAAGAAAGGATTCTCCACTAGATAGGTGTGAGCCCTGGCCAGCAGGGACAAGTGGGGGTTTTCTTTTTCCAGTTTATCCATCCAGTTTTTTCCAGCCTTGAACATGGATTCATTGCCTCGGAAGGGGCCGCATGATCCTGAGGGCTTGATACTGTAAACCACAAAACAATGCAAATGTTTACAAAAAGAAATGGCCAAAAAGAAATATCAGAACTGGTAAACTTTGGGCAGTAGGCTGTTTATTTGACCAGAGGCCTTTTCCCTCCAGCCAAGTAGAGAAATAAGGCCACTTTACCTGGTTCGTCTACTTTAAGCCTTTTCTAATTATTAGAGCAAAGGGCCTATTTCAGGCATAAATGCATTTTTTGAGCTTTAAACCATTTTATGATATTACTCCATTAAAATCCTGCTCAAAGTTGTATTTTTCTTGAACCATGAATTAATCCTGGCGAGTTCTGGTCTCTGAGCAGAACCACCTATCTTCTCCTGAAAAACCAGGTGACCATCATCGCCCTCAGTACAGCAGTGATGAACTGCTTTCTCCTCGTAGATTGACTGCGCCGGCCCTGCCCTATAAACACTCCCCATTTCTCTGATCAGCAGGAGGGACGACAGGCAGAGGGCTATCATTTCTGCACTAAGTGAAGACGAATTGGCCTATTTAGCAGCTAATCTGCAAAGTCACACCAGCTGCTTTTTATTTAGCTAATGTCTGTCTTAAAATTGTGTTTAATGGCCGTAAGAGGTCCTAGACTTTGTTAAGCCTTCATAAAGAAGAGCCTAAAAGCTAGAACTGGAGTGATACACCGACATCCTGAACTAGGCCACACCCACATGGCCAGAGGTGCATCTTTCTCACAGGTTGGAAGAAAACAACAAATATTTTATAACAAATGAATATCTTTGAAATCTAATCAATCTTTGAAAACTAAAGAATATCACTTCATCATACATATACACATACACACACACATATATCTTTAACACTTTCCCCTGATGTAACCTTAACATCCAACTGGGAGATCCAACATTTTGTGGCAACTAATTGTCTTTTAAATGCATTTTCAACTGCCTGGCAACCAGGACCTTAATAAAATACCTGCATCAGATTTGAAAGCTCTCAGTGACTCTCAGTGTTTACTTAGATAATCATTAGTAGGTAAATAAGTAGAAATCATATTGTCAGGTTACTCGCCACCTTATTGGTGTTACTGTGTGTCAGACTATACATGCTATTGACAAGGATGACTGAGATGTATTGAAGTACCTCCACATGGTGTATGTGACGCAGACAGAGGCACCGAGGAAGGAGGGGAAGCACAGGAGGGTGATGAAGATGGTGGTCATCTGACTGACTCTGTATGGCCTCCTGGGGGCCTGACAGTTCATCATTACACTGCTCTGAAAAAGGGAAACACACACACATGGCTAAAGGGGTTGGAGGTCATTGCATCTGCAAAACTGTGAAAGGAAACCCCAGAGTGCTTCGAGGGGTGCGAAAATACCTGATTTTTGTTTTAAGATGACAAAATAAACAAACATTTATCACACAGGCTAGAGATTTCAATGCTTAGAAGCTGCATCAAGTCAAAGGAAAAACGATTCTGTCAGTAGAAACATGGAGGCTATAATGCCCAACAAACATGAAAAGTATCAAAGGTGTAAAAGAGATGGAGTTGAATTTAAATACCGTCTTAATATAGAAGAGCAGCAGCAGTTTCAGAATCTGCACAGCAGGCAGGAGAGGAGTGAAAAGGACCCCTAACCTGAAGAGAATAAAACACATAATCATCATGGTTTCTCCCATTATGGCTGTGTATATATATATATATATATATATATATATATACACTAAAAACATGGCACACACCAGGCTAACGTCTGTCCATAGATGAGGTGCAGGACATTCTTGGCAATATCAAACCCTGGTCTTCTTTTTCGCCTCAGCACTTTGTCAGAAAATAACCTGCAGAACGGTCAAGACACAATAAAGTGAAGGGAAAGAGTTTTTTCTTCAGTTGTGATAGATTTAACGTGAGAATCAGGGGTTGAGATTCCAACCAGGGCCTAGGTTGGTTCTGGCAGCCCAAAGCTACACTGGAAGCTTTGGGCTGGATCGAGACAAAGGCCACCGTTTTTTTAAACTTTGCAATTTAAGACAAAAAGCATACTGAGTGGTATTAAAACAAGTTTAAAAAGAACCATTTTAAAATACTGACACTACACGAGGGACCCACCTCCACAGCAGCTCCCCAAACAAAGTATCCAGCAGAGTGAAGATGAAGTCGATGATTAGGAAGCGATAAAGCTCCTGACCAACAAAACTCTCCCAGCACTCACATGTTGGCTGCAAGAACAAAACACGTGATGATGGGCAATGGACTCACCTGCATGAAGGAACATCCTGCAGTACATATATACACATATACATAGACAAATATCTATCCATCTACCTATAGATATGTTTAGATATTCATAAATGCAAACAGCTCATTCTGAAACGGAGCCAGCCATTTGTGGATCCTTTCAAATCTCCATATGACCACGCCCCCCTGCCTCTAAAGGCTTTTTTTTTCTTCAGGTTTGGGGTTTCAACAAAGAGAAAGTAGATGAGCAACCATGTACGAGTCACCACGGGATACAAATAATCAAGATGTGATCTGATATTATCTAAAGATACTTATAAAAGCAATTTACAGTGAAAGAATAATAATTACGTCTTGGTCTTTGGATGATGGGCAGTCAGACTCAGCAGGCACCCGACTCAACCAATGGTAGCAGAGGATTCCAAGCACGCTAACTTTTAACATCAGGTTTCTATAAAATAAAGACAAAAGAGCAAACAAGGGATACTTCATGGTCTCTTAATGGAACAGTTTTCACATGAGCTTTAAAAAGCATCCTGCTGCTCTTACCGACTCAGTGCTACATATGTCCGTATAGATGGAGAGTTGTAATTCTCCATATCGGCCACAAGGTTAAACAGGCCCGGCAACACCAGGTTGATAAAGGAGACGAGCACAGGCAGAGCCAAGAGGCTGGCTTCTTTCAGCAGTCGACCCTTGGAGACATCATGCAGTCTTTCCTGCTGGTTTTGTAGAACCCCCCAAAAAAGAGACAAAATGAAAGCTGCTGCTAGGGATTTGTTTCATGAATATTTCAGATGCATTCAGCATCTTCTGTTGAAAACAGCGGGAAAAAAATAGATTTATAAATTTTTTTTAAATGTTAACATTCCTTTAGTTCCATTTTTAATTATACATTTCATTCTTTTTTTGTGCATGTTTTTGCCACGGTGTTAACTACAATGACAATAATGACTATTTTATTCTAGATTAAATGGAAACACATAACTTTAAATATTTTATGCCTCATAACCTTGTTCGCGTTTGTTACATTGAAACTTCAAAATATTTTTGTTGTGGTGTTTCCTGAAAAAAATAAACATTAATTTGGTGCATAAAAGGAAAAAAAAAATCGTTCTGTTTTGCTCCCACCAATAATTTGAAAGTTTGACATGTATAAACGTAGGGATGTCCTTCTTTAAAGGCAATGATCTGTAAACACAATCCTCCTGTAAATCATTTATTCTCATTAAAGATCTGTGAACAGACAGCATCATAAAAAAAGTCAAAGAGAAAGATATGGTGAAGTTCAAACAGGGTTAAATTATAAACAATATTAAAAGCTTCAATCATCGCCCCTAGTTCAATCCATCGTCTGACAATGGAAGAGAACGGAACAACTACTAACCCAACAAACTATTTGTTTGTACACTCCACAAATCTATATATATCTTGCAAGCAAGATGTACTATTCCCAATATGTGAATTCAAAAACTCCTTGTTTTCTTTTTCGAAAAAAAACAAAAACAAAAAGACGCATTTTGCTTCTTTGTGGATGGAAAAAGATGTTTGTGCGCTCCTCCCAACCGGATTCGTTAAGAGTTTGATTTATCAGCTGCAGAGGGATCTTATTGTTATAATCGTGTCTCCTTTAATTGCTCTCAGTGACGACTAAGTTGCTGAAGCTGAAAAGCTGTGCATTACTGCTGTAACATGAAAAAGTTCTCAGTGGTGATTACCAGCCGTTATTTGGAAGCCCGGAGTCATGGCTGCTTAACTAATTGGAAAAACATTCTTTTATAAGAGGTGTTTCAGGAAAACATAGTTGGAATTGTCATGGATGAAGTACACACCACAGACAAATGTAAGTGATGCTAAAACACACATATGTTTCACAGGTGCTACGACATAGGTGGGAGGTGCCATTTGGTGATTTACCCGATCAGCTTGAAGAATTAACATGAACGTCCCTCCCTTTTGTGAACATTTTCTACAGGAGCCTTTCCAGTTGGATACTGTGTAAAATTCAAACTGAACTCCAGGTATCAATCTGGCTTATGCCAGGTTAGCAATTCTAGGCCTTTATAGACAAAGAGGATAAAAGAAAGTTTATTGGAAGCTTTCTTTAGAAGTTTCCACAAGCCATTAAGGAGAAACAACAAACCTGTGGTGATCAGGTCAGATGAGACAAAACTGGACTTCTTATTCTTCACATGTTAAATTATTTGTAGAAGCTAACTAGTATTGAACAGATCAACCAGATGCTGGCAGCATTATCTGTGGGGACGCTGTTCCTTAGCACGGACAAGGAAGATAGTAAGACTTAACGGGGAGATGGACAGAGCTAAAAAATAAAACACTAATAATGAGACATGAGGCAACCGGTTAGACTCTGCTTTAGAGCTGGGACTGGAGCTGAGGTTTTCCTTCCAGCAGAGAACATCCCTGTCAAAGGCCTTAATATCAGCTTGAAAGCTTAAAAAGTAAAGAAAATAAACATTTACAGATTTGCTTTATCAGTCTGATGGAGTTCAGGATATTCTACAGGGAAAAAAGTTCAGATGCAACAGAGACAAACACCAAAAGAGTTGCACCTGTAGCTGAAATCAAAAGCAGTTGAATAAATCAGCTCAAATTAATGCCAAACTTCAGAATTTTGTCTTTAAAGGAAATCAAAAATTGATTTCCTCTAGTTTGTGTTGGCCTATCACTTAAAACCTCAAAGAAACATATCAGAAACTGTTATGCAACAAAATTTGAACATTATGTTCAGTTTAACAGTCTTAGTAAACCACTGGGGACATCTTCATTAAGATTTAAGATAATTATCAGGGTTGTGTGCAAAGTTGCTACTTTGCCAAGTGGCAAAGTGAAAAAAAAACAGAAACAAACTAGACATCCTGTTTGTAAGACCAGGTGCAAAAAATAAAAGAACAAACCACTCAGCCTTACTTCGTGCATATAATCTGAAAAGTAGTAAATGCCGACCAGGCATCCCGTGGTAGCGGCAATGCAGATCGTCCAAGCCAGGCCATGAACCAACAGTTTGTGCAACTTCTGCTTCAGGGTATTCTTAAATTTCCTGTGATTTACTTCAGCCAAAAGCTCCTAGACAGAGTGAAAGGATAGAAATGGTGAAATACGTCAAAGAAAACAGAAAAACCAAACATGATGGAAGACTAAGCAAGGAATGCAGAGGGACAGGAATGCATCAGATCATCACATTCCTGTCTTCTCTAAACACGACAGAGTGGGAAAGGAGGACCAAGGAGGGTGGGGAATTTTTAAGCTATGCGAGTTTACACCTACCTTGAGCTGGGTACAGATGTTTTCTGACATGAGCTTGACTGGGTTTTTCTTGATGACCTTAAAGTCCCATGAGCAGAAAGCCTTCATGGCCAGCATAGCATGAGACTTATCTATCCTGAAGCTCTGGCCGAACGATTTCGACATGCTTTAAGAAAATAACATGTAAATATTTGACTTTTTTGGGTTAATCTAAGATTCTACATTTTATTTAAAAACAATTCACCTGTACACAAGGATGATGCATGTGATGAAGAAGGCCATTCCTATTGTGAAGAAATATGCAAGAGGCATGTTGTAGGAGGGGTAGTTGGAGTCACACTGCGGACTGGCTGAACTAGAGATGTTTCCCTCTATGCAGTTCTCCCTGTTTCTTTGCAGTGTGTCATTACTGTAGTACCCATAGTACATCAGCGTATCAGAGAAGTAGCCCTGAGACAGAAACAATGTATTGGAGAAGAAGATCTATGTTTGCACAGATTGTTTAAGCTCATTAAACCCTACAACAGGGGTCTTCAATAATTCGCAGTTTGAGACTGGCAGATTGCTAGAGACAGAGTATGGACCCATATCGTTGGTTTAAAAGCACCAATCACCATTTAAGGTGCTGTTTTATGAACAATTGTCCAAGAAAATATGCAAATACTTTACAAATTAGGTAGGGCCTACTTTTTTACTAAAGTATACCCTTAGATATAGCTACCTGTCTCTAGCGGAGCAACATTGCTCTAGATGTTTTGTTTTAAAAACATTATCTTGATAGCACTTTTCTCCATTTACCGTTCCTAACTCTCTTCCTGTTGGAGGTGAGCACTAAGGGGCACTGGCATTAACATACAAAGACTGTCATTAATTAAAAACGCACAATGATGCCCAAGCAAAGATTAAATTGATCAAAATGCCACTCATTCTATGACCCAATGGTTTGTTAGATTTGTTGTTGGTCTGTAATAAAGAGTTGCCATGGCAGCAACAAAAACATTTTCATGCCCAGTAAAATAAGTAATGGTGTTAAAGTAGTAGGAGATCTTTTCTGACTCATTTTTTACTATGTGGCTTAAAGATCTCCGCACAGCCGCTTAGCAAACATTGAAAAAGAAGGTCTGGAAGGGAAACCAAAATAAATGGTCCCCGCTACATTGAGAAATAAATAATAACCCCAACCAATCACAAAAGACGGTCCCTAGTACACGATTGGTTCCTGACACGTCAATCATGGTCGTCTGCTTGTCCCTCCCCCCTGTGCGCGCACCCTGACACATGAACGAATCGACTCCCCAATGCTCGTGCAGAACGCCATGGCTGGAAGCTAGCCACTGTTATGCTACGTTCACACTTAAGGCAGCAAGATCAGCAAAAACTGCTGCTTCCTTTTTGATGCTTTTACAAGTTTAGTTCTGATGCACGGCTGAAGCATCTTAGTTGCTCTGGCTGCGCGGTGGAAAAAGTGGGTCTGATGCGTGTTGGGCGGAACTATCCTTTCTTTGCCTGTAACAATGGCAGCTATACTGCTCTGATCAGGGGGTAAAAAGTAGTTTTGAATTTATTTTGAAGTGAGAAAGTCCACTTGAAAACATTGTCAGTTTAGTCAGTTCATCCAGATTAGGATCCTGCCTTCAAATATTATTTCTGTCGGAGCCGCTCAGACCTCCGTACACCGGCGGTGCGCTGTCACTAGGAATGCCATTCAACAGCAGCCTCTGGCCCGGTTGCCTCCTCGTGGTTTGCAGCTGTGGCTGGGAGGCGTTTTTCATATACATAATCCAAACTGCAGGCACCAGGATAATAAAAGCGAACATGTTTTGCTGCTAGATTTCAGCATTTTAAGTCAATTTAGGCATTAATAAACTGTTTCAGAGGAGTGATCATAGCGCTCTGCATCATCAGTGCTGCCTGTCTCCCTGCCAGCTCCCAGATCAGTGATGCGGTGCTTCAGCTGCTCAGACGCACTGTTCCTGCTGCTTTAGACGCGCTGCAGACAGCATGGGCGATCATGTGTTTTGAGGCGTGGTCTGAAGGGAGAGGCATGGTTGTGTATGTTTAAAAATATAGCTTGCTAGAACCGTTTAGCACCTTTAATTAAAAGCTGTGCTTTTGCTGGGGTGCTGAACTCCTAAGCGTGAGTATTTTATTTATTTATTTAACCCGTCAAGCAGAGAGAGAGTTTTAGAGCATTTCCACCTGAAAAATTTTTTAATAACCCCTAAGCTATAACGGTCTCAAAGCATATTTACCACCCCCATGCTGTACCTCTGCACAAGGGAGTCAACAAGGGGGAACTTTGCTGATCCTGAATCAGTGAACCTATTGATGGTTTAGTCAGCATCATTAGCTGCTTACCGCTCCAGTCAGGAGTTCAAGCCCAGTGAAGGACCTCCTCATTGCATGCAGCTTTGGGGGATACAGGGCCTGAGGAAGCACTAAGAATGCACCGGTGACCAGCAGCAAAAAGACATTGAAGAAAAGAAGATACTTGAGGAACAAGAAGTATGAGAGGACCCCGCTGCCGAAGCGCCCGCTGATCTTCTTGAGCCGTGTTTGCCACAGTTGGAGGGAGTGCAAGAAGGATAACAAGCTGTACCAGCTATGCCTCAAAGCCTGAAAAGATAAGGATAGACAGAACAAATAATACAATCACTGTTGTAATTGAAGACAGAGGACAAGCCTCTGTGGGTTTTTATGAGTCAAAGATCATAACTGTTCAAGCAGCAGAGCAAATGAACTAGTGTTATAACAACTACAGGAAACTGAGGTCTAATTGCAAACAACAGAACAGAGTGCTGCAAAGCCCCAGAGGGATAGATGACTGGAAGTTCATTTATTAACTATGGTGTAGTTTTTAAGAGCAGCTCGCAGCTGAATTTTTTTAAACATTTTACTTCATTCAGGCCTTGAAAGAGCAAGATGGAGAAACTTGTTCTACAAATATATTCTGTAATCTAAAAATTGTTGCAGTGTGCGGAGGAGGCAGCTGGAGAGCAGCAACTCATTTTGTGCTGTTAGAGATGGTGCTGTGGTTGAACTAACTCTTCAAAGAGAATTATCCCCTGTGGGTGTAAACAGCACCATTTCTGCAGCAGCTCTTTCACAAACATCCTTTTAGAATGCCCATATTGTTTATTTAGTCATTTTTAAAATTAATTATTAAGATCTCCATGCTATGCTTGGATTAGTCCTATTGTGCATTATTCATGTATAGGTATGCGAATCATCTTTGAGAGTTTTACTCTAAACATCTGTCGTTGATAAGAAAACTTTGGTTGACAAACACAACCCTTAGTGTAGCAGAAAACAACCACTTCACATCCATCGCCACAGTAAACACTGCTGGCAGCATGAAGCTGCTGTCGCTTTAGCAGAGACAGGAAAGCTGCTCAAGCTTAATGGGAAGAGGACCCTTTTAACATTTTAACCTTAAAATTACAGTCATTTCCAGTCATTTTGCAAAGCCAAAAGGATAAAATGTCCATCTCCAGATGTGCAAGGTTCCTACAGACATGTCAAAAACACCTACAGCTGTAACTGGAGGGAAATAAGTAAAACCTTTACATACATTCTATTTTCACAATGATACCCTACAATGGGTTAGTGAGACAAAGTAAGGTTTGTGGATAGCTAAAAATGTGATACAGGCTGTTTGTGCTCCGTCATGGATTAATGAAGTGAATGAAGTTTGAACTATTACATTCTATGCGTTACTTACTATGATGATGTAAAATTTCAGACGACTGCAGCAGGTGAGCTTACTGCTGGAGTGTGTTTTAGTCTTTTTCAGCGTCAAGCTCCTGATCATGAGAGACATACACAGAATTAGCAACAATATTTTCTTTTTCCAAATGTAATAATAAAACATAAAAACTAACCACAAAGAAATTTACCTTAGTTCTTTTTTCTCCGACAAATTCAGCGGCATTGCTCGGAGCATCCTCTCTCTGTCACCCACTGAAAGGATCTGCAGGTTGTTTACCAGGCGCTCCTTCTTACTTTCTATAAAACATCCAGTTTACATTACAAAGCTGTCTGAAAATATTAGCTTGTATTTCTGTTATTTTATTCAGCAATGTCTTTTTTTCCCTTGCTTTCTGCACCTGCTGAGTCTGTAGTGTCTACCTCCACGCCATAACCCCGGATGCTGGGTCTGGCAGAGCGAGAGAAGTCTTTGATAGCCGGTCTGCTCTGCCGGCGCCTCCGTAGCTGCATGGTCTTGTTGTAGTACTGAGAGATGATGGCTCCTCTGCTACGGCCTGGATCGCAGAAATCACAAGATTGGTCAGCGTAGGTATAAATCTGAATCTGAACCAAAGCTGTCTCCCATCTGCATACAAAGCCTATTTGGTACCCCACTTGATTGTTTGATTAAAATAATTTAAAGAATTAGAATGGAAGCAATAGTCTTGACGTCCATAGACATGCATCCATCTAGTGTTTTCCTATCCATTTCCTACTGCTGAATGAATGAACCGTATACCATACCATGTGAGTGAAGACGATATCATAGTATATCGGATCTGGTTTATTAGTCAGTTGATATCTGATTTGGTTATCAGAACCTACCGATGCACCTCAATAAATCTGAATGTTATTGAAAAGCAACCCAATTCACTAAGTAATCTGTTTTCTGTTTATGATACTTCAAGACACTCAAGGTTAAATAACCACAGCAGAACACTGATGAAAAAACTAAAATAATGGTCCAGACAATGATCAGATATTAATGCTAGAAATATAACTCTTAACAAATTTATGCTGATAATCTAAGTTCAACGTTTTCTGTGAAATTCCTGAACTTCTAAAGCATCCTGATTTATTGAGATGTAGATGTAGAAGGCTATGCTGGAGAAACCAAACAATTGAGTAACTCAACAGTGACACAAGGAGGTTTTTATATTTGGTTGGTTTGTGGGGAAAAAACAAACAAAACAAAAAGAAAAACAGATCAACAGGCATTCAACAAGGCATTCATAACAGCATGCTGTACCACCCAAATTTTCTCAGAGAGGAAGATGATGAAAAGCTTCCTCCTGAAACCCTGATCAGTTGCAACACATCCGTCTTTATGTAACATGACGCTAGGTTTAGTGCTTACATCCAACTGGGTTAAACAGCGATTCTTATCACATGTTGGGTTGGGCAATAAATACAGCACTCCGTGTATGTTTACAAATTGTAGCCATTTGATCTCCACCAGGTTTACCACAGTGAGGCTGGGTGTGGTGACAAACTACAATAGGAAACAGATGTTTTACAGCATTTAAATGCTGCAGATGGGAGAAGTTTTCAGAAAGGTTATTTAAATCAGCAATGTAGGGAACAGTGTGTTCTCATTTTCTTAGAGGAACTAAATGTCAAGCAACACAGGACCAAATATGAAATAAATCCACCTCTATCATTAGCTTTTGGTCTATTCCAAAGAGATCTAAGCAGTACTAACCAATAGTACGGCTAGGCATGGAGGAGAGGATCCTCAGGGTGGCTGAAGACAACTTATCCTGGAGAAGACGGTCTGTTTGTCTTTCATTGTCGTCCTCTTCTGTCTCATCACTGCCTAACCTCCATCCTCGATACGCAGGGCCTGACAGACCTGCAAGGCTGTCTGTCAAAGTAAACAACAAATCAACATACAGTACAGCTAGATAAGGAAACTTTTCTTTAAAGTCTGTGTAGGAGCAGATTATGAATTTCTGTATTCCAAATGGTTTGGATCACATGATCTGTCAGCTGTCTATATAGGTAGGATCCGGTGTTGATGAGGACAGGTGCGTTCCACCCGAAAGGGGGAAAAAATTTTGACCGCAACGCAATACTAACGTGACGCAATGCTACCGCTATTCAAGTGAATGCTATGTGGATCGCTGAAACTATGTATGCGGTGTTATTGTCAACATGTTAGAGGAATGACTTGTGGTACAAAGGAAATATGACAATTATTGCCGAGTCATGGAAATAAATGGATTACCGGCACCAACATCAAGGATGGGTCTCATTTCAATTAAGCTGCTAAGTAAACGGCGTGTCAACTTTACCCCGGTGTACCACCTCAGGGGCTTAAAGCTTTGGCTTAGCCTCTTCAGTCTGAATTCAGCCTTTTTTAGTCAGATAACCTTTAAATACTGAAAGCGTGAAATGCAAATCTGAATGATGGAAAAGTAATTAAAACAAAAACCTTTTTTCTTCGCATCACATCCTAAAAAACAGGTATCCTATGCAGAGGAGTAAATTTATATCAGCATTTATAAATCTAACAAGCTCAACAGCAAAAGATTATTTCCTTTCTGCTTAAAAAGAAAAAAAATTTTTTTTACTAACATTTGTTGAATGGATGCTTTTTTGCAACAGAAAAAAAAGATGGGATGGTTTGGAAAACATCATGGATTGATAAAACAAGGCGAACAGGTAAGAAGGATTAAACTCTGCTTATCAAAAACTGTCGAAAAGGAAACCCTTTGCGTATCAAGCATGTAAAACAATTACAATCCTGGATTTAACAACACAAATTCCAAGGTGCCATGACAGATAAATTAAGCAGAAGGTCAACAGGCAGAAAATTTTTGTCTGTCAATCTGCTCGATCCACAACTCCAAGAGGAAAGGTTTTAGTTTCACCTGGTATCATTTTGTTAAAACTGTTCTTTAAAGAACCTTTTTCTATCCGATTACTAATCAATTAATTAAAAACAATTATCGAAAGATTAATCAATTTGCAAATTGTTAGTTGCAGACCTACTTATCAGAAACTACAAGTAAGTCAATTCTTCCAGATTTTTTAATTTGGTTTTTGGCTGCTCTTTTTATCATATGCAAAAAACTAGTTTCTGTTTATGTTGCGGGAGAGCAAAGATACCCTTACAATGAGTGAACATGGAGCTAAACGCGGAGCTGAAGGTTGCGAAACTGATGCCAGGCAGGATTTGGAAAGATCATGTCATCTTTAGTGGATCCGCAGTGTATGTACAGCATTTCCAGAGGAGATAAAATACCACATAAACACAGTTGCCTTTTGTCTGACACAACCGATAAACCCTGTTGAGAAAGACGGATTTAAGCCTTAAAATATTGAGGTAATCTCTAGTTTCTTTAGTTTTCATTACAGATGCTCTTAAACTGAAGATGGAGAACAAATAAAAAAAAAAATTAAAATTTGATCAAAATCAAAATTGGATGAAATGGGAAAATAAAGGATGATAATTTTTTCTGCCATCTTGCTAGACCCTAATACAGATCACTGGATTTTTTGGACAAACTGAAACGCATTAAAGCCTCTTTTCATCGCTTTCATTCCCATCCATAGATCTCAAAGGGGAGTACCTCGTCCTTCTTCATCAAGGTCCTGCTGCAGATCCTGCAGCTCGATAGCAGACAGTCGGTTGTTCTCACTCTGTTCTTCGATCAGCCGGCTGAACGAATCATGAACAACATCTTCATCCGCTGGGCTTCTAACAGAGGAATACATAGACATGACAGTAGATCAGTACAAGCCAGAAGTTTCAGGAAACACCAAGGGTTCCTTTGAGAGAGAAGGAACCAACCAGCAGACTAAAAACAATGAATCAGAAACCCCATGAATCATAATTGCAACCTGTGGTTAAAGTTGGATTAGTTTGCATGATTCTCCTTCCAAGCATGCAGGGTTTTACTATATGTTGTCACAGCAGACAATAAGTCGATTCCGTCTTGACCCCTATACAGATACCACAGGAAGGAAATGCTCAAGCATTGTCAAAAGACAATGACCTACATGTTAACAGCAGGTCAACTGATGTAAAAACATAAGCACAGACATAAAAAGAGACAGACAGAGTTCAATATATTCCACCTTTCCATTTAGGCTTTCCCTCCTCCTCTCCCTCTGACAGCAGGCATGAACAAGACCAGACATGAGAAACCAGAATAAAAACAAAACAAAACAGAAACTCATTGATAAACTCTACAAAAACTGAAACATTTAGACTTACTCCAGTCCAATCTCCACGTCAGGTTGACTCAGGTCAAAGTTAACACTCCGGGCCATTCTTCTGACCAGCTCTCCCCCTCATGGAGCGATCACACCCTCACCTGCTAAGGCCTGCGCTCCACTCCCACCATGATGTTGATTCCTTCCTAACTCGCAGAAGGAGGAGAGCAGCTAGAGGAGGCGGTGCAATGAGGGCGAAGTGAGGTGGAGGGGAAAATGCCAACAGTTTCCTCTCTGATCCACTGCTTCTGTCGTGTCTCTGCTTGTCCTGAACTGTTCTCACTAAAAAACACACAGAAAGAGACTGAATGTACATCAACCAGCTGAGGCTTTCTGGGTTTCTGTGTAATTTATACTGTACGTCCGTATGGAAGAACACTAACAACAAATAATTAGGAAGTAGTTATCAGTTTAAAGCTTTAAATATGATCATTCCTTTGTCCAAAGTCAGACATCCCTGCAATAAGCATAACATGACAATGACTCATGTTGTTGCCTTGTCATGAGGGAATACGTCATTTTTCCCTGAGCTATAAGAGCTCTATTGTGACAATGGAAGGGGGTGAGAGTCAGCTGTCACCACTGAAGTGAATATTCATGAGACACAGCATGATAACGAGTAATTATAAAGAAAAGTTGGACAAAATGATTTTTTTTCTGCTCTAAATATGCTTTTATTGATGTGCTACAGCTGGATAAAGTGAGCAATAAAACTTTTTTTTTTCTTTTTTTTTTAAGAAACATCCAGAAATGCTTTTAAAAATATGAAAAAAGGCTTGGATGGATCTGCATAACTGATGAGTAACCATTAAAGTTTCTGATTACTTCTTTGGTCTTAATGAAGATGTTTGAAGGTAGATTGTAACTTGCACGGGACTTTATGCAGGGGTATCAGAGTAAAGACGTAGAAAATGTTGACGTGCATTTATTGTGGAGGATTTCTTACAATAATAGTTATTTATTGTGACGGTAGAACAAATGAAAACCGTCTAACCAACCAAAAACTGATGGTTTTGTCAGGATTATTATTGAAACTGTTTTCTTCAGTTTGTTCCATGTGAGCACCAGTTAATGCAGCTTAGTGATGGGAATCAAACTTTTCCATGTTACTTGTGTACTGAAGAGGTCCAAATGGATGTTTTTTATGAGCCGTATTTGTGCTTGTGGGGCTTGGGCAGCGGTGACATGCAGAAATGCACGTGTGTACAAATATACAAGTGCCCTAAACGGACTGGAGTTTTCTATCACACTGAAATTTTACATCCTCCCCTATTAGCATACAAACTTATTATTACATATAAAAAATAGATTTTTATAAATATAGTAGATAATTTTCCTTCTACATCACAATGAAATATTTTGTAGACTTTTAAGACTTTTAAGTTTGTAGCTGTACAATTACAAAATGTATTGGTGTATAAAAGAGCTTCTTGATGCTTTGAATGAGCATTAGAAATACAGTCTTTTTTAATTAGGGTTAGTGTAACTGCCTATAAGGGGTCCTCAAATCAAGTTTTTAAGAGCGACTTCCAATGAGTGACTTGATTTTAGGCAACTATTGGGTTAAATTAAGTCAAACACAGGAAATTCCACAGTGTTATATGCAGTGTCGAAGTACATTGACTATTTTAGTTATTACAAGAACAACAACAGGAACTGGAGAAAGATATATGTTACGTAGAGAGTCAATTCAACACTAATTTGGTAGGACTAAATGCACTCAGATTGATGTTAAATCTAAAATTTAAAGTGTTACTTTAAGGCTGCAAAATTTACTGTGAGGGTGTTATGCTATCCCTACCTGCATGAACTGCCCCCTACCCCACGTAAAAATGTGAGAAAATAAATCGGTTAAAGATAACCCGTGCTAGTTATGAACTTAATCAGCTGTGTTGGCTGTTGCCTCTCAGTCATTTAACAAAGTACCTACAGTCTGAGTCAACCTCTGGCATGTATGTGTCCTTCTCCGTGTCTTAAAGTGTGCATGAGTGAGGAGTTATGGGATGGACTCTGTGATGATAGGATGTGGCTACATGTCCGGTCAGGTCCAGCTGTACAGTTGCAGCCAGTAATCCAACTCTTCATCGGCTGTAACTACCACCCCAGCATCATAGCAAGAATCATTCAGACACTGGTTGAACCAATCTATGCGTTCGTGTATCAGCACACAGCTAAATTTGACTCTATGTAAGTATTGACAAGCTTTCAAGCTATTAAGATTGTCCTTGTGTTTGTCTACCACCTTGAAGTCAATAAACTACAAAAATATTGGTCTTTTACAGAAATGGTGGTGAAACTTGTCTATACAGAAGTTGAGAAACTCCAGTTGCATACAGAGATTTTCAGAGAAAATACCACATTGTGCTAAAGAGGCATTCACTGCTTTCTGTTTTGTTTGTTTTTTAATTGGCGCTCAGGAGCGCTGTGAGGCAGAGCAAGACAAATTTTTCAATTCTAGCTATATCTATGGCACCTTTTTGGTAAATACAGCAAAGCAAGAATGCTGCAGGACCTGCCCGTACGGGAAGCATAAATTGCAGGAGTTAAAAAATCTGAACTTGTATTTGCATTAACATCCTAAAAAAAAACAATCAGGGTCTAGATGTGACTGACGTAGAGTGAAGGAGCACAACAGACAACATTTTTTCAATCAAAAGAGTAACATAAAGTTGGTTAAGGATAATGTAGGGAATGCTCTTAGGATGTTTGTAGGTGTCTTTTATAAAAGCTGCTTTAAGTTAACCTTTAAGTTATCCTTCCTTAGCTCCAGCACAGACACCAGCATCTCCCCGCTCTGGCGCTCTCTACCTGCCAGACTTCTCTAATGTACATTTGTCCTTCTTCAATCTACCACTGTTAGCCTACAGATCAAGTCTCAGCCATTTACCACCTCTCCCACATCCTGTCTGGCCGGTGGGCTTTTCTGAGGTTCCTTAGCTCTGGTGCTCTTTCTGCTGGGGGTCTTGCTCCGATTTCACTCCCTCTCTTGTCTGAACTCAAGAATACCTTCTCTAATTAGCTCCGCAGTGATCCAGCGGCTCCTGGACTCCCTAAACTGGGAGCCTCTCTGTAGGATCTGCTTGCCCGAGGGATGTTGACGGCTTGGCTTTCCACAGGAAATATGGTAAAACAACTCGCTGCATAAAATCTTTGTCTGGTACCAAACTGAGCATGTGTGCAATGGGTAAACAATAAAGTAGTGGCTAAGCAAGTTTGCACCTCCCACCAAAGTTGGGAAAATAATGATGAAAATCCCAGAATCCAGCGGGAGAAAGCGCCAAAAAATGTTTAATTCCCAGAGGGATAAGACTCCAATAGCTTTTGGAATACAGCATGAAAGTTGGCGTTCTCTGAAGTGGGAGCTAAAGCTGCAGAAGCATTTAGATATGGCTGCCGAATTGATGGATGCGCGAGTAAAAGTCCTGATATGAACAATTAGTACTGATAGCTATGCTATTCTTGTTCTCTGCAGTATAAGTGCAAATGATTATTATAAAGAGATTGACATGTTTTTTTGGTGTGGGGAATTTCAGGGCAATTTTCTGTAACAGCAGCTAAAATCAGAGATATCCTCAAGATCAGATTAAATTCTAGCTCTGTAGCATTTTATTGTGTTAAACTTGTGTTCATTCCAAATAAAAGGTTTTAGCCTTTGACCTTTTTGTTTTTCCATGAGGCATTGCAGGACAGTAGGGCTCTATTAAGTAGCTGCCTCAGTTGTTTGGCTTTCTGATAGTTTTGTGGTGCTCTTAGCAGATAGCACCACATCTGTTTATGTCTGTTAATAAGCACCAAGGTGTTAGAACACTATTTAGGGCCAAAGAGGAATATCTTATTTTATCAAGACCAAATGGTTTTAGGTCTTTTTAAGAACTAGATAATGATAAGCATATTACCTAGTGATGGAACCAGCATATCTTAGCTGGAAAAGTGCCAGCTTCCGCCTTAAGAGTAAGTCTAACCACAAACAGAATGAAAGCATCTCTTTCTACAGAACTCCCTGGCAAAATAGTTACATCAAATAACACCTCTACATCCTGTTTACGTGCATTACCAACAAGGCATATAGCTTCAGACCCAGGGACATCCTTGTAAGAAATGAATCTTAAAAAAAAAAAACTCATCCTATGGATTTTGGAGGCATCTGTTGTCCACAGTTAATATTTGTCATTATGTCTAAACTTCTGAAGGAGGTTATAGTTTTAAGCTATTTAGTTCTTGTCCAGTCAAACCTCAGAACAACATTCAAAAGAAAAAGATTCATAAGAAAGGGTAGGGTACCAAATAAAAGACACCAATCATATGATAGATATGGTGTCCAATATAAGGCAGAGTTGATGTGACCTGTATACAACAACTGGCTTCCACACCACTACAGCAAACAAAACTATTTTATACAATGAAAAAACTTTTTCAAAGTCTAATCACATGCTGTTTCATAAAAATAAACAAACAGTGTCATTTTTCCAAAATAAAAACACACACACAGAACTTAGTTAGGTCCATGCATGGGAAGTATGTTCCAAAACAGGAGATAAGACAAAGACCCCTACCCTTTTCTAAGGGCGGAGGTATTTCTAGTCTTATTCCCAAGTGAATACAGTTCCAGCAAGACACATATATGGATGGAGCTCTGACTATCAGCCAGAAAACTGAGAGTTTGAACATGTATTTCTATATGCTGTCTTCTTCTCCTCAGTGAAAACAACCTTCTCCTCACAGATTTTCCTTTCTCATTACAAGACATTTCCAGGATCGTGTTACACTGGTTTCATCATCTGCTCTCTTCATATTCTGCGTGTTGTGTTTTCTTAATGTGCAGCTTTAGTACTTTATACATAACAATCCCCTGAGAATCTAAAGATGAGGGAGGAAATGCTGGGAGGGGGACATGGAGAGTAGATCAGAGCTGAGTTGTTCTGCTGCCAAATAAAATATACTTGAAAAAATAAAGAGGATCGTCTCCACTATACAGATTTGTTGCATTTGAGGATGGATTCAGACCAAGCTGATCAAAAAGAAACCCTTTCAGGAAGTTGCAAAACATCCATGACAACAGATTAACTATACAGAAAAGACCAAAGATCAAACACTAGGATGACAAACATGGGCGTTTATGATCCAGAACAGAAACCAAAGGAGTTCAATCAGCAGACATAAAATTATAGCTGTAAAGAAGAGGAAGGGGACTGATTTTTGCTCTCCTGTTCAGTAACTTCAGACAACTGGAAGGCATTATTGCCTTCCATTATTGCCTAGTGCTGAGAAAAATCCCATAAGAGCTGCAGAAGCAAAAGTCCTTTAGCTCACGTCACAACCCTAAAGCAGGGCATTTAAATCCATCCAGTGCTTTATATAAAAGCAACTTCTTTTAGTCAAAGCCCTCAACAAGCTAAAACCTGCAACTGATTCTGTATGAGGGCTAGTATTACTGTTGGAATGGCTCCCACCCACCATTCAGCTGATAACACAAAGAAAACGTGTAGATTATAAAAAGGGAAGATCTGAAAACAGAACAGTGACATTTGCATAACTACTGTGCATCCTCTGAATTAGGCCATAGATTACATTTTCAAACTAAATGTAAATGAAAGCATTAACACCTTCTGTATTCTACAGTGATAGGAACCAGTGACTATCAATTGAAGCTCCAGCAGATTGATTTTCTACTAAGCTGAGACCATATGAGAAAAATATCTCTTAGTGAGCTCTCATTCTGAGGAAGCATGTGTTGACACCACAAAACAAAGCTTTTCATGACTGTGCAGGAATCCAGCTACAGTGTAATCTCATTCTGAAGTCTGCCCCCTTGTGCTGCTCATGGAGCAAATTAACCTGCATTCAGAGCAGGAAAACTCCCTGTTCACCCCTCTAATCGTGATTCCGACCCCCTCTCCTTCGCTAATGAGCTCCAGGCTGTGAGCAACAACATTAACCTCCTTCAGTTTAAACTTTCCTCTAACCTGCTTGTTAAAGTTGCCGACTAGCTTAATCTTTAACTGACCAACAAAGGCGAGTTACAAGTCAACACGTTAAAGAGGCATTGTTAAAGTGACGCGGGTTTTATTTAGCAGAATATATCTCTTCTATAAGTAAGCTAATCAATAAGCTATTAATTAATAGGCGGAGATAATATTTCCACCTTATTTACGTAGTTTACTTACCCCGCCGCTAACTTGGCAAACCAGTTTAACCTCTCCGTCTGTCAGTCAAATCAGCAGTATGTGCAGGCAGCGGGGAGAAACCATTAACACGTTTTCTTTAAAATATTAAAATAACGAATAAGTTTTAATCCCAGCCTGAAATCCACGACTTTTATTTAACTGTATAATTTAGTCAGTAGGGGGTTCAATTCAAATTTTTTTTATTGATGTCTTATTTTGTTAACATATCAATTTAATGTAAAGTTGACCCCCGCAGAGCTGGCGTTGTTGGTTCGGTCCAGCTCTGACAAGTCAGTCTTTTTTGATGAAACAATGGAAATCACAGGCTCGTAAGATAGCGCACATAGGACATAAAATAGAAACACTTCTAGGAAATATAAACGTATTTTAAAGACACCTAGTAAAAATACATTAAAAACAACCTGAAAGTGAGGCGAAATTAAGGTTTTCACAGACTGAAAAACAGTGATAGCACTGTTGTGATATTAGGTTCAATGTCTATCCAGGTAAGATGCCACATTAATGTTGTGATTTTATGTTCTATCCAGCCAGCTGGGAATTTATATTTCTGATACTTTAAGATGTTTATTTTTTATTATCTTTTCATTAATTTAGAGAAATTGTAATGTTTTCAGGCCAACTCACAATGCAAATAATGAATAAAATATTATTTGGCCAAATAATGTGTTATTAATTAATTTGCTTAATCAGGAACCAATAACCTTTAGTTAAGGATTCTTTACTCTCTTTGAAATAGCTAGCAGCAAATAGACATCAGGATTCCATTAAATGACTCTTGGTCATACTTGGTAATCAAAATCTAATGAGCATATGAGGAACATGATAACACTAATGTTATATCAGTGTTTAAACCCTTAGTAAAATAAAGCTTGTCTAAGCTTCAACAACAGCTCAAAGCATATTAAAATAGCATAGCATGCAGTCCATCCTGTTAGCTTGTCTCTACTCATCATAAAAAGACATACAGTATTGTTTGTTCTGTCCCTAATCATGCCAGGCCTGCAAACCTTTTTGTCCATGTCCGTTTGTTGGGTTTAGTTTCATCTAGCTGCAGCTCAGCAATCAGGCCAGCAACAACCAGGGGTTCTTTGTCTCACAGCAGTGGTCCTCTTTTGTCTCAGTGGTTTATCAAGGCAGGTTTCTCATCCAGTCTGGCTGTATAAGTTCTGAAACTCAAGAGAAATGTGCTGCAAAAGATCTGTTTTGAGTTACCACAATGACCCATCCTTCATGATTCTGGAGATAAAGGTCCCCTTGGGCCTTGGATCTCCATCCTGGCCGTGACCCTTCCGAAGAGGAATCCAGCTTCATTGGCAAGAGAGTAGGAAAAGAGGAAGAATGTCTGTGCTTTTCTTGTCCTGACAGATAGCGGGTTGGTTCATCACACCTCTGTGGGAGTTCCTGTGACAGGAAAAGTGGGGGCCCCAGCAGAGGTCCCCCAGCTGTTATTCACCAAAGCTGCGTCCTCTTCTCTGGTCATCATGTCAAGATGAAATATGGACACTGGTTCCCAATGTCCAAAAACCATGATCATGGTAAATGGCACAACAGCACGCAAATAATATTAGTAACAACCCAAGGTTGTGGGGCCTTAGAGTATGATTTGAGCCCTCCTTTAGATAGAAGATCACATCTATCAGAGTTTTAAAAAAAGAAATCGTTTTGGAAAAGGGGAAAAGTTTAACTCACTTAATTTCAAAGTGAACAAAGATTATTTGAGAGACTGCTGTTTAATCCTTATTTAAATGGTCCCTCATGCCTCCACCTGTAACTGGTGGGACCACTGGGAGATGACCTTGGGTCACTCCTTTGGGGTCCTGCAACGAGGAACCCAACCACCAGGAGTACTATGAGGAACAGTGGGGTCTCAGCTCTGTTGTACTGTCTGACGTCACATGCCTCAATTACCGGTAATCTCAAAAAGCATTCTTTATTAATGTTTTTTTGTGAAATCTAAGCATTTGTGTAAGGCCCTGATGATCTGAGGGCCTTAAGCAACAGCTTGGTTTGTTCATCCCTAAAGGGTCAGCTCTGAAATAAACTAACATCTACCACTGTAACTTTACCAATACTAAGATACACACACACACAAAAAAAATCATACATCTCAACATGTTTGTACATTTATATATTCTTGTTCAATAACTTTCACCATTATCTTCATATAAAACTTGCATTCTACAAGTGATTTTAATCCTGAATTTATTTATGGCAACTACATGTTTGCTCGTCTATGTGTAGCAACTAATTACCAAAATAAATTTCTTTGTAAAACACTAATTACAATAAAGTGCAAATAAGATCAAATGATCATAGGTAGATCACAAATTCAGTAAACAATTCCTTATCTGATCTGCTCTGACTTTCAAGCAGAACCTTCCTGTTCCTGTTTCCTGTTCCTGGCTGAATTATTTTAACTGCTGGGTTTTTGCTCTCAGTTTATTGTAAATCATCATTGTTGTCTTTTACCTTATTGACTCAGTTGAGAAACTTGGTTTGCAACAGATTTTATTTTTTAGACATACCCACCAATAAAAGAAGAGGAGAAATTCAACTTTAGCTTTCCAGGGAGCAGTGGGCTGCCATTGTGTGGCCCCCGGGGCGCAGTGTGGGGCAAGGGTCTTGCTCAGGGACCCAGAGTGGCAGTCTGTGGGAATATGTGGGGCTTAAACCCAACCGCAATGCTCTCACCACTAGGCCACCACTCCCCCCTAAACGACCCAGCTCACATCGAAAATCCCATATAATTCAAAGTCATTACACATTATCAAAAAAATATATATATTGAAAAGATGAGTTAGATCACATGCAGTTATCCTAAACAGGGAACAAAGAGACGTTCCATGATATTTCTCCTCACCTGCATGATTCTGTTTCCAGAGTGTAAGGGAAGCAGTTCCAACTAGTTGTACTGAGCATTCTCTGGCCTCTGGTGATTAAAACCTGCATTCAATCACCAGATTGAAAGCTTCATACATAGCTGATAGTGTGTTTCTGTAACAGAGCTTACTTTTACCAACCAATGTAGTTTAATCCTTAGCACAAGATGAAAAATAAAATAAAAAAATGACCCCGTCAAAGCCCCAATAACATAAAGTAAAGCATAATAAGGAGGAAGATTGATAGATACATTTTTTTAATAGGATTTGGCAAATGTGGGATGTATATGTTTAAAAGTATTCATTTATTATTGAACAATAGGTCTAGAACAGCCAAAATGGACAAAAACATTAATCAATATGTATGTGTTTTGGATAAATATTGATTTTAAAGTTTTGCCACAGATATTCAGCTATATTCAGCTACTTACACACAATTATGCTGTGATCTAAACCATATTTGCTCTGGCTCTCAGGGTCGTTATCTATTCTAAAGCTAACCCATACTGCAGTCTGATGTCTCTTGCAGCATCTAACAGATTTTCGTCCAATATCACCCTATATTCAGCTGACTCCATCTGCCATATAGTCTGACTAGCTACCCTGTTGCTACAAACAAAACCATTCACCCAGGTGATGCAACCATCACTATGTTTTCCAAGCTGTACTGACATGTTTTAAATTTGATGGGCAATATGAAAGGAGATGGTTGTCATTTTATTGTAAACAGACTAATGTAAATATTGTTGAATTAGCATGGATCAAATTCATAGATGCGTTTTTGGGTTTAGATTTATTTCAGAAATGTTTTTGAAGGGTTGAAACAGCTTGCAGTGGGTTGAAATGACAAGTAACTCCTTTCCACAAATTTAAAATGAAGTTTTCAATCTTCTTTTTTAAATGCAAAAACATTCATAATCTTTCTTTGCCAACTCTCTGCACCTGGGTTTGGTGTTTCCGTTCGCTCTGATCTGATCTTTAGCATTCCTCTCTTTCTGATTGAGTGTATTGCTAAACGCTTCTGCTGAATGGAAACAAATCATGTTTAAACAGCCCCTAAGAAATGACGTTGCTCTTTAAACTTCCATGTAAAAAGTCACTGACTGGAAGCCTCAGATGTCTTTGTGGTCTCCTGAGTGTGGGTGTAAAAGGTCTTCTAGTTTCATCATCTTCTTCATTTCAAACACTCATTGGTTTAAAATGCAAGCAAGCTTCCCTATGATGATAAAGTAACTAAGTAGCCTGGATTTAAACTATTCAGCATGACAGTACCTTTCTAGGACTAATGCTGAATAACTTAGGTCAAGGTAAATAATTGAATTCACATTTTGATGGATTTAACTTGAATTGCAAAGTAGGGTCAAGGTACTTTAAAAGCAAAATAAGACAAAAAAATTTAATGGAACTGATGTTTTATCTTTTTTAAAAGAAGGAGAAAATAAATCCACCCATCCATGTCAGAGTTTATGCATTTTTAACCAATTATTTTTTTGATTAGTGTTACAATTTGTTTATCATCCCTGCTGTGTTTGTACATTTCTTATCAAATGTAACCATTGCCCATGTCTGCATCCTGTCATGTGACTTCCTGCAATCAGTCAAACTTCAGATGTCATGTATGCTCCACCTTCCGAAACAAAGAAGAAAATGTCCAACAGCGTCAAGCAGAAGTGGTCCGCCACTGCATGGCCTCTGATGTGTGATGCCAGGTGTTAGGCAGGGTATTTTGGTGCAGCACTCGGAAGTGACTCTTCCCCTTTTCATAACTTTAAGTTGCAGCTCAAGTGGAGAGGGCATCGATATGTGTTACATATGAAGACAGAAGACGAACAACTCAGTTAATAAAAGAGGAAGCGCAGGAAGAAAATGGAGGACCACAAAACGGTGCAGTTCATGAGACTCTTGTCAGGTATTGAAAATCCCAATTACTAATTTTTCAACTCCCTGTATTTCAAAGTTAGAGTTCAATTTGTTTATTTACAGGAACCTTGTATCTTCTATAAATGCATGTCAGGAAAGCAGAAATATTGACTCACAGCCCTAATTTAGAGTAAACCTGTCTTTTTTTTAATGAATAAAAAGGTATGCTTTTTGATCTCCATAAGCTGATTAATCCGTGTTAACACGACTTACCTCCAAATGGGGACTTTTAATTAATTACCCATAGTATGTTTTTATCATTAAGGGAACATTTTAGATGACTTTTTTTCTTCTTTTTTTTCCCAAACTTCAGCTTGTGGACAGAGAGAGACTGGCATTAGAACTCGTTTACAGAGAAGTTTGCTGTTTATTTAGTGAATAAAGAGCGGTCAGCAACTTAGCACAGCATCTCATATTATTAGACTCCCAGCACCTTGCTCAACGTCCAGATGTGTGTTTGCCGATTGTTTTCTCACGGATTGGTACTTTCCATCACACACAACTTTGTCCACTTTGGAACACTTGTGCATTCATTTAACATGAAAACTGAGGGCTGTTTTTTTGTTTTATTTATTTGTAAGTAGTCTGTAAACATTAAAGAGGTGGATAATTCAGATAACATTTCTGTGCCATTTCTGGGGAAACTCTGAAATATAAGCCACAGCATATTTTGGTTGTTTTCTGTTTTGGGGAATAATTAAACATATTTCAGTGCATTTGATTATTTTTTAGGTTTACAACATTACAACCACATGGTATAATACATTTTTAAACAATCGATGTAATGAATCAACACACAGATGATCCATGGATGTGGAGAAAATGGACAGAGACATCATACTGTACCTATGCTTGGTTCAATAATCTGTAGGATCTCCTTTTGCTTGAATTAAATCTGCCTTGTTTTTCTTTTTCCACTCCCCTCTCAACTCCAGCCTTATGTATGGAGAAGCATTCGTGCAACATGATACTACCACCACCATGTTTGCTGGTGTACTGTTTTCACCACACATGCTGATTTTTATGAAGGTCTAAAAATCAAACGTTGGTCTAATCTGAACGGCACCCTTACCTCCACACCTTTAAGAACGGGACTTTAAATGACTTTTGATACATAGATATGTTTTAACAGTTTATTTGTAAAGTGCACTGCTACTACAGTAGCTTTACTTTCAATGTATTTTCTTACCTGTGCTGTGAATCTCTGCCCTGCAATGCACTTTGATCAGTTTAGCGTCTTTCTTTTTGTGATTGTATTCTTACCATTTTTAGGTGAAATAATGTTTTAAGTGAATAAACAAGACTCTCCAAGATGTGCAAAGTTTAATATATTATTTCATGACACAGCACTGTTTTCATATTCTCCTTCCACCTCACAATCATGGTCGTCTTCGTGTTGGTCTTCATAGAACATGACTGAAAAGTATGCAGAGGTTTTGGTTTTAATGTAAAGTATTTGGAAGGGGTTCCAGAGGATATTTCATTATTTAAATAACTTTATATTTCCAACATGACATAAAGGAAAAGGAGTCCTTATCGGTTTAAAAAACAGTGAAGTCAAGGAACATATGTTGTGCTGATTCCATTTTACTCTCCCAACAGAAGACAGCATTGGATCTACCTTGTCCTCAGACTCATGTGAGTACTATCAGACCGAGATATATGACCTGCTGCCCAGTGTCCAGGCTGTACGGTCCCTGCATGGCGGCTATGATACACAGGAAAGCCATGGTGGTCCAGAGCCTGAGGAGTCAAGAGGACCAAGAGATAAGATGTCTCAACATCCCCTCAGGAACCTGGCCATGTCTATGCACGGAAAGAGAGATGCAAGGTGGGAAATTTTATAAAATATAAAAATATTTAATATTTGTCTTATATCTAAGCAAAAAAAAAAAAAAACTAAAGAAGAATAAACTCTCCTAAATGTGGATCTTCTATGTAAAATATTTCGCAAAAACAGGGGTCAGGATTGACAGGTTTTTTTGACCAATTATATCAATTGTTTGTATATATGGAAAGAAAGACAGAAAGAAACAAACAAACAACAAAAAATAAGAAATATCTGATAGAGTGTTTTGAAGTAAAAGAAAGTTATTATTTTTTGGAAAATATATAATCACTGGTACATCAGAGATGCAAAACTTATCTGAATCTGTTTTTTTTTGTTTTTTCGTCACTGTGATGGATGAGATCTGGAAATTGCCCTTATGAAAAGTTTGGGAAAAAAACCCGTAGACCCTTTAGCTCCCTGTAGACAGTTTGACTTGGATCATAGATTTGGGGTTTGGCTTTAATGTCTTGGCTGATGACCTGTGATCTTGCTTCAGCATTTTTACATGTTGACATTCATTTTCTGAAAATGTACCATGTCCTCCTTATGCAAAACAGTCACGCCATATGTAGCTGCCAATTTGCCGAGTTTTAATGATGCTATCATGCTTGCAAAGTTCCTCCTTTTACCTCCATGTGTTATGATGGCCAGTACGGTTAAACACCTTAGCTTTACTATAATACAATTATAAACACAATGTAGTCAAAACTTTCTGTCTTTGTACTTTAAAGCATCTGCAGGTTTTATGATGCTTTTTAGATATCTATGTTCTAGTCTAACTTATGGTTGTTATTTATGGATCATAACTGAAAGAACAAGAATCCAGAGACAAGCTGCTGAAACTCATCTTTAGGCTCAGTTGTTTAAATCTAACCAGCTTTAATCTCTTTAGTAAAACCATACATTTTTTAAACCTTAATTTGTGTCTGTTTAGATCTTGATTAATGACACTTTGAGTGTGTGAATAATAATATATGTATTTGCTGCTGTTTAGGGAAAGGAGGAAAATGCAGATCAGTAATAATGGTTTTATAAAGTCATGGAGTCGGAGCCAGAGCATCAACCGGAAGAGGATCCAAGCTCAGGTGCGAGAGATGGGGTTCAGCCTGTTGCCATGGCGACACATACTCCTCAAGATTCAAGGTAACACAGAAGAACAGAAATGTTTCTGCGTTCAAAGCCGTAGACAACTTTCATAATTTCAACTATAATTCCATTTCTTTTTCTTGTTTCTCAGCGAGGTTTGGGGTCGGAGTCAAGTCCTACTTTGTTTTCCTCAGATATCTGATCTGCCTGAATCTGCTACACTGTGCTCTAATCGGAGGCTTCATTCTGGGGCCCACAGCATTTTATGGCAGAAACAGGACTGGTGTGTTCAATCTAACAACAAAAAGTATTACATTTAATTGAAATCCAATTGAGCTACGTGTAAAGGAAAATCTCTTCTGTTTTACAGAATCGTTGAGGTTTAACAAAAATGACTCAGTGTTAGATTTCTTCCTGGGATCGGTAGGAGTTTATATTCATTTTATCAGTAATAGTTGTCTGTATGCATGAAGCAAAGCTACGGTTTGTTCAAAATGCAACAACACAGATTTGTTCTAAAACAATACTTGGCATAAGATGGATAAATCTTCTTTTAAACAGGGATTTCTTGATCGTTCTCCTGTTTTCATTGGTTTTTACACCCCTGGCTCTCTGGATCTAAGCTGCCTGAACACTCCCCTGCTGTACCTTGCCGGGATCCTCAGCATCTTTGCCTTTAGTCTCATCATAGCGGCCCGCAGGTTAGTGATCAACTCCAATACACCATAAGAGATTAGTCATCCTCTGTTTACAAGGGATCACAAAAGTGTATCTGTCAATCAAAAATGCAGTTGTTTAATCTAGCAGAAATGGGACTCTGAAAATTCAGATCATCTAAATAGTCTCACTGTTCAAAAGTATTACACAGGAGAAGATAGCAAAAAAAAAAAAAAAAATGCAAAAACACTGCAAAATCAATCTTAACATGAGTACAAAAATTCTTAAACCAGGTGTGTTTACCATTGGTTTGAGCAGGTAAATAATATGATCTGCCAATGGACTGAGTATGTTGAGTCTTAAAGTAATATAATTATATATTTTTCACTTGAAATAAGAGATTACAGTTGCTTTGTGTTGTTTTAAATGTAAATCGTCTTGTTCCATTGTCTCCCACCTGCTCAATCAAGAAAAAATGCAACCAATTTAAGAAAAATGAATTTACCTAGATTTTAATGTTTTGGAGTGTAATGCTGCTGAGAGGAGGCAGTCATCAATAATAATTTGACAAAATATAGGAGAACAGCAAGACAAGTAAGACATTTATCCCAAAAAAAAAATCCCCAAAAGAACAGGAACCAGAGAGAGAAGCTGAGAAGATAATAAGGCTTCCTACAGTAAAGATGCTGCAAGAATAATGGAACACTGAATAGTTGTGTTTTATATGACGTGGCAAAAATCTCCAGTGTGTCCCTTCTTGCTTGACTAAAGGGCAGTAATAAAGACAGAAGTCTTCCTTCCAAATAAAATATCCATTGTTGGATTATTTTAAACCAATTAAGTAAATGTATTATCTGAGAGCCTACAGTGCCAGAAGTTTCTGTGTGGCAAGAAAACAATAGTACACTTGAGTTAGGCCCCTTTCCCACTGGCTTCCTAACATGTTGCTCTCCATCTTCTGTATTTCTGTCACGCTGGTGACATCATCAACACCAACCATAGTGTTGGACCTAGTTAGACCCAGCTATTTTTGCCAGTGGGAAGGGAGCCAAATGCGGATTGTCAGCAGGTCAACCCATGTTTGAAAAACACGCTTTGGTATTTTCAGTGGGAAAGGGGCTGTGACAATTTGGCTTAAAGGTGGAAATATCATGCTTTGGGTTATATCTCTTTAGATAGAACTAAAGAACAAGGCAAGGAAGCCATTTTCAAAGACTTGTTAGTTTGACCCAAGACCTTCAATGTTCTTCAAGAAAGCTGCCAATAATGGAATGAGCATACATCAAAATCAACATAATAATGTCCTCAACAGAAGGTTTATTTTTCAAAATCTTGTTTATCCAAGTAAAGAATGCACAAGTACAACAACTATATACAAATAACAAATATGCCAGGTGGTATGCCACAATAAGTAATTATATATTAAGGGGAAAGAAATAACAAAATGATAAACATGTGCTGAGGAGTGTCAGATATATATATATTCTACTAAACATGTATTCTACAACATGAAGAATTTTGAGTTGGGAACAGATTGATATGTTGTGCTTTTTTGCCTTTTGGTGAGTGGAGGATCAAATATTTCACATATTACAAAAATATTTCTTAAGTTCAATTAAATAATCATTAAAGTCAGCCTTTTTCTTTAGACATTTTAAATTATGCAAGTAAAATTTGGCTAATTATAATTCAGAGATTGATAAGGAAAATTTTGGGATACATTTTACTTTGCAACTGAAAACCAAAGAGAATTTTTTTTCCCATAGAAGTTGAAAATCTTTTAAAATAGTTACAAAGGTGTTGCCAGAAAGTCTTAGAAAGATTACTTAGATAGTCTTGGGCAGGATAGATCCTGTGAATTGCTTTGTATGAAACTTCCTTCACCTTGTAAGTGAGGAGAAAGTGATTAGGTAACAGCCAAGTACGTTTCCAGGACACATCAGTTGAAGAGAGGAAATTAATTGTTTTCAAATGTCTAATTTTTCCCAGGTTGAGTGGTCAAACATTGTCAGGCGGAGCTTCTTTGTTTATCATTTGTCTGCAAAGAATATATGCAGCTTTGAAGGTTGTGAAGTTACCTGTAATGGCGTCATTTTACCACATCATAGAAACGTTTTAGATATTTATTTTTTCCAGGGTGTGAATACTTTTTAGACCCATTACATCTGCTCTGCTGTTACAGAACAACTGTTGGCTATAAGCACACCTGGATGCTTGAGAAGCGTACTAGTGTGAATGTAAGCTTTAAGATCTTCTGTGGCTGGGACTTTAACATCCAGGATCCAGCAGCTGCAATGCTCAAGCACAGCTTCATTAGAAACGATCTCAAGGTGAGAAAGATACTCTATACCTGAAGATTGCAGCTTAGTTTTCTGCCATATTGGATCATGAGTTTGTTACAGTAGATGGCCTAACCAAATGTATCTGGGGCAATGAAACAGTATAATAAAACATTAGTTTTTTCTTGAAAAAAAAAAAAGAAGCTAAAAATGCAGGCAAAATTAGGTAAAATGATCTATAGGTCCCTTAAGATATTGTACAATAAGCAGAAAAGATAGACATGAGTATTATTTTGAAGAATGTATTATCACATATATAAAAAATGATTTAAATTGTTTGGATTATGTCCATTTAGTTTGCTAAAAATGCTGTGTTGTAAAATCTGTCTCTCAGCTTTTTCTGGAGGAGCAGAGCTTCTCCTTGAGGAAAGCTCAGAGGACTCTTGGGCAAAAGGTGCGTCTCTACCTGCTTAGGTTCATCCTAAACCTGGTTGTTTTATCACTGCTCGGTGGAGCTTTTTACCTCATCTACTTTTCCACAATGCTATCACTCACTGAGGTAAGGTGTGGGCCTGAAGTTTGGTTTTTTTTCCAGTGCAAACATGATTAATTATTCATTTGTTTCATTTGTGACTGTTTTCCTTAGAGTTCAGACGGATGGTTTCTTAACCTGGTCCTTCAGTATCTTTCACCCATAACCATCACTTTTGTGAACCTAATCCTCCCTCACATGTTCCGTAAGGTCTCGTCTTTTGAGGACTATTCTTTAACTGTTCAAGTAAATGCAACACTTGTGAGGTATGAAGCAGAAGAAGACGTTTAGCTTCTGCAGATTACACACAAATAAGCATTACTGATAGAACTTAATCTGTGTTTTACTCAGGAGCATCTTCTTGAAGCTGGCTTCCCTTGGAATTTATTTGTTTTTCGTCTTCAAAACGCGACAAACACAGCAAGAAAAAGTAAGTGAGAGGAATTATAGCACTTTATTTTTATTTAAGATCTTTAAATGTTGCTATCATGAGGTGATTTCACCCAAGTTCCAGGTTCCTATCCATCTGAAAAAGTAGACATTATTTTCCAATGTCAGTCTAATAAAAAAAGTTTTAATTGTCTGTTCTTTATTCCTGCTCATGTCTTTGTCTTTAAAGGCACACCGTTTAACTTTTGGCCACTACGGGCACTATACCTGTAACTGCCAGTATTTTGCTTCTACTAAACATCGACAATAATAAAAAAGATATAGGACTGTATACTAGGAGCAAAATGTTAATTACCATTCTAATAATAATGTTGAGAAAAGAGAATCGGTTTTACATCCAGCTTCTTCTTTCAGTCTGCGCCAACGAACAAACTGCTTTCTAAGATCGACTGCTTTTTCCTCGCTCATGATGCCTTTCACGCTTTCTCTTTTTAGCCTGCTCAGAAGGTTTAAACTTTTTCCTTGCCTCAGCCATGACTAGTAGTCCAACAGGCAAAAATAGTAGAGCTCCATGACTATATAACAGCCTGTGGATATAAAGAGATAAGTTCTTCAGGGTCATTGACGGTCCGTCATCTCCCAACTTACATAGTTGGTATTTCAAGAGGGCAGTATCCGTTCTGCAAATGCGCCATCAGCTCATTTGCGCATGCGCATCCAGATATACATCCTGGTAGTATTGTTAAAAGTACCTAAATTATGTTTTCCCTCCCCCAAAATAGTAAACGTACTAAAATATAATGTTTTAAAGGTTAATAATGTATTTCCTGAGAAAATAAATGCCATTAAATCCTTTCTGTTTTATCACTTGTCTGTACCCGATCTGCACTGGAAATGGGATCCTTCGCTACTTCCGGTGGCTAACTTTTTCAGCTTTGGATTTAAACATAAATCTAGTCTTCTTGAGTTTTATGTTTTTGTTTCTTTTTAACCTCATGCTATATAGTATGTAATGTAAAGAAAGAAACAACTAAAATGCATTTAAACATGGTTTAATCATATTTTGCCAGACTGCTCTGTGCATGTCCGAATTCTACTTATCAACCACAACTGAAAGTCTCAATGACCCTAAAAAGTTTTGGAAAACAATTAAAACTTTGACTGTTGAAAATAACTCACAGACTTTGCCAAATTTTATTGTTCATAACTCAACAAATAAAAAAATTCGAAATGTTAAATTGTTTTAATCAACACTTTATATCCTCCAAACCCTCTAACACAGGGGTGTCAAAGTGGTTCCAGAAAGGGCCGTGTGGCTGCAGGTTTTTTTTTCCAGCCAAGCAATAGCACATCAGACTCATTCATCTCATGAAGTCATCATGTTCATTTTGACTGGAGTCTGGTGTGACATTGCTTGGTTGGAAAGAAAACCTGCAGCCACACAGCCCTTTCTGGAACCACTTTGACAACCCTGCTCTAACATGTCAACCACACGTGTAACAACACCTGCACCAGTTTCTGATGTGTCAAAATTCAGTTTTCAGCCTTTTACGTTGTGTCAAGTCTATAATGCATTGAAATCATTAGATGCTTGAAAATCTCAAGGACCTGACCTAATTGATTCCTACTTTTTAAAAATATCAGCAGATTACATAGCTCAACCCTTGACTTACATTTTTAAATTAAGTCTGAGCACTATGCAAATTCCCAAAATTTGGAAGTCTGCTTTTGTCACTCCACTATTCAAAGGTGGCGATCCAGCAATCTTAAATAGATATAGGCCTATATCAAAGCTCTGCATCCTATCAAAGGTTTTAGAATCTTTAATCAATGAACAGTTGAAAGAATATTTGTACTCTAATAATCTGTTGTGTAAATTTCAGTCAGGTTTTAGAAAAGGTCATAGTACCATCACGACTTTGAAAGTGATTAACGATATCTTGGCAGCTCTTGACAATAAACAGCATTGTGCTGCACTCTTCATTGATTTATCAAAAGCGTTCGACACTGTCAACCACAATTTACTTGAAGAGAGATTGACCAATATTGGACTCTCTAAACAAGCTAATGGATGGTTCAGTAATTATCTGACTGATCGATCCCAATGTCTCAAATCAGATAAAATTAGTTCTAGTACATTGTCACTAACTAAAGTGCCCCAAGGCTCCGTTTTGGGGCCTCTACTATTTACTATCTATGTGCACAATGTTGGCCAGGATCTTATAGACACTAACTACCATTTTTATGCTGATGACATGGTTTTTTACAGTTTTAGAAAAAACCCTAGTGCGTGTGTCTCTACTTTACAAATTGCTTTTAATTCGGTTCAGCACAGGCTTTTAAAACTAGATCTTTCTTTAAATTAAAATAAAACTAAAATGATGTTATTTTCAAAAACAAAGACAAAATTGCAAAATAGCTATCCTCTTATCACCTTGGATGGGTCAGAGATAGAAAGGGTTCAATCTTTTAAATATTTAGGAATTTTAATTGATAAAAGTCTAAATTTTAAATACTCATGTTGAACAATTGATTAAGAAACTCAGACTGAAAATTGGCTTCTTCTTTAGGAATAGGCTTTGTTTCTCTTTTAATTCGAAGAAGAGACTGGTAGTTGCAACGTTTTTACCCATTCTGGACAATAGTGACCCAATCTATATCAATGCCCCAGATCAAGTTCTAAAAATTTTTGACTCAGTTTACCATGCCTCCCTACGATTTATCAGAAATTGTAAGCCTTGCACACACCACTGTGAACTTAACATACATGTGGGCTGGCCAGCATGAGAGACTCGTAGACTCACTCACTGGTATATGATCATTTATGAGGGTATTCTGCGTCTGCTCCCCTCATACCTCTGTGAGTACATTCAACCAAGAGCGGTTGGACTGTATTCTCTACGTTCTCAAGAGTCTTTGCTTCTGTCTGTACTTAGTGTCCGCACTGAAGCTGGAAAGACAGCTTTTCAGTACTCTGCCCCCACAGCATGGAACAATCTTCAGAAAGACTGGACGTTGAAGGATTTGATTCCAATCGGACATTTTAAAACGATTGCTCAAAGGTTTGGAAATGAGATCTATGGTTTGTAACTGTTTTATGAATTTCTAATTATAGATAGATGTAATTTTAAACTGTAATGTAATTTGTAATGTAATCTTTTGCCGCTGTCTTGGCCAGGACTCCCTTGAAAAAGAGATTGTTGATCTCAATGGGACTTTTCCTGGTTAAATAAAGGAATAAAAAAAATAAAAATGTCTGATGATGATGTCAGAAAAGCAGTTTAGCGAAGAAAATGTAAAAAGCTTAAAAATTGTCTCACAAATGTCATGAAACATTTTTACAGATGTTTATTAGTATTCTTTATTGAGTTAAGGATAGAAATAAGTAGTTTTAGTACCACAATTACATTATTTATGGACACCCGGATGTATATCTATTCACACATGCGCAGAACGGATCATACTTCTGGGACGGATTGCATAGTGACAGGCAGCCCCGCTCTTAGTGTCAAGCGCTGTATATTTGCTTGAGGAATCATTTAAAACAACTCATATGTGTCAACTCTTTAGGTCACAAAGTCTGCGGTGTGCCTTTAAATCGTTTCTATTAACCTTTTTGTAATGTAAACTTTTTAAAGAGAAAATTACAATTTACCACATTATCTCACATGTTATAATGATTCCTTGTATTTCCCTTTTTCTGTGCATGTTCATTTTTTTCTTTCCTCCGGCCTGTATAGATTCAATAAATACAACCAAGCCACTGTAGAAAAGTCTTTAGAAATAAAATTAGGGATCTGATGGCTGAATCTTAGAAAAAAATCTCAGATTTCTACCCAAACCCACTGTTGGGGAAAAAAGTCTGCGATTTAAACTTTATTTTCACATACACTACCGTTTAAGTGTTTTGGGTCACATTGAAATGTCCTTATTTTTTAAGGAAAAGCACTGTACATGTGCTAATGTGATAAACGACTATTCTAGCTGCAAATGTCTGGTTTTTGGTGCAATATCTACATAGGTGTATAGAGGCCCATTTCCAGCAACTATCACTCCAGCGTTCTAATGGTACAATGTGTTTGCTCATTGGCTCAGAAGACTAATTGATGATTAGAAAACCCTTGTGCAATCATGTTCACACATTTCAAAACAGTTTAGCTCATTACAGAAGCTACAAAACTGACCTTCCTTTGAGCAGATTGAGTTTCTGGAACATCACATTTGTGGGGTCAAATAAACGCTAAAATGGCCAGAAAAAGAGAAATTTTATCGGAAACACGACAGTCTATTCTTGTTCTTAGAAATGAAGGCTATTCCATGCGAGAAATTGCTAAGAATTTTAAGATTTCCTACAACGGTGTGTACTACTCCCTTCAGAGGACAGCACAAACAGGCTACTGCAGGTACTATTTAATGAAGATGCCAGTTGGGGACCTGTGAGGCGTCTGTTTCTCAAACCAGAGACTCTAATGTACTTATCTTCTTGTTCAGTTGTGCAACGTGGCCTCCCACTTCTTTTTCTACTCTGGTTAGAGCCTGTTTGTGCTGTCCTCTGAAGGGAGTAGTGTATTTCTTTAAAGTTAAGACTAGTTTAAAGTTATCTTCATTGAAATGTACAGTGCTTTTCCTTAAAAACTAAGGACATTTCAATTTGACCCCAAACTTTTGAACGGTAGTGTATTTAATCAAGTCTGCTGCTTCTGTCTGTTTGATGCACATCTTTTTGAAACTATTTACAGTAATTAAAAAAGCACTTATTTCCTCTTTTTTTTTAAGTGTTGCACTTAGCTGCCAGAGCAAACGAGTCAGTCAGAGAAAGGACTTTGTCTGTTTAATTCTGGACCAACTCTGCTCTGACTAAAGTTTTAAATCATGACACAAATTCCTTATACAAATTTCACATAATTGGAGATGCAGTGCACATGAAAGTTAGGATAGACATTTTGCCTGATTAAAGCGTGATAATGGTTCAAGGTTCCTAAAGGGTTTGTATCAACCACATACATTTTTTTATATTAAACATTAGCCGTTTTTGACATGTTTTTTTGTTGTTGTTGTTGTCTGTGTTTCTTTTTAGTCTGGGTGCAGAGAAAACCAGCTTGGCAGAGAAATGTACAAACTGTGTATCTTCAACTTCATCGCCACTTTCTGCAGCACTTTCTTTGTGAACTACCCGAGGAAGTGGGTGTTGTTGAGATAACCACTCTACTTCTTTTTTTGAAGTGTTGTTTTTGAGACCCTTAGTGAAAGATTATACCTGTTTTTTTTATTCTGAATACATTCTATAGCTATAATTATGATACTGTTTTTTATATAAAGTTGGTAAATATGCTTGTGTTCCTGCTATTTCACAGGCTTTTGCAGGAGATGTATCCAACATCCTTGCTTGCACGTCTATTAGGCAAACAGAGATTCCTGATTCCTTTTAATGTGCTGGATCTGGTTTATGTGCAAACTGTATCTTGGGTGGGAGTCTACTACTGCCCTCTGCTGCCGCTGATTGGAGTAGTCACGCTGGTGGCCACATTCTACATCAAAAAGGTTGTACACTGGAACGGAGATCAATGTTCACTCCCACCTGTACTTATGAGCTTTGATGACTTATGTATCCAGGGGAGGATTTAGGAAATTAGGGGCCCTAGGCAAAGACAGGGGCCACTGAACTGAGAAGACAACACATTATACAGATACAGAAATTTTAATACAATGGACAATAATTATTTATTTTACGTTTTGTTCCTCTCTTCTTGTCCCTTTTCTTGTTGTTTTCCTGTCTATGTTTTGCACTAAGCTTACTTTTCATGCTGTCTCAAAACGAATGAAAATATTTTCCTTTCACTAAGCTCACTTAGCTCCTTCCTGTGTTTCCAAAAAAGCGACGGCAAAAGTAAATAACAGTCCTTTTCACTGTAGACAAGACATGATCTGCTTATCTGTTCTCCATTTTTCATTTGGATGAAATAATAGCTGCATGAATCATGACAGTAGACAAAATAAAGGAGAGCAGGAGGCAGGGTTACGAATCTACTTGCTCTGGAGAGCAGAGTTCTGTGCTTTTTATGTTGTCGCCAAAGTCTTCAGTAACAGAAAAAAGTTGCTAGATCAGGCGCTTTTTTGAAATAAAAGTCCCAAAGGGGTCTAAAAAGTCGCTAAATACAGCAACATAAGCGCTAAGTTAGAGACACTTCTCCTTGCACTTTTTGTTTTCAAATTGTTTGCTGCTGTCGGTTTGGACCTTTATAAACATGTGCAGCAAATGGACTGATCCAATTTGGTGGACACAGAAGGGCTTGAGACACACTTAATGTTATAAGGATTCTGATGGCATTTTAGAGAAAGGATTTTTTTCAAAAACATAATTAATGTACACAAAAAGGAAAAGCTGTATCAACCATACATGTAAACAGAGTTTTATGCCCCCCCCAAGAACTTGGGACCATAGGCAACTGCCTAGTATTGCCTAATGTTAATCCCCCCCTGTATGGCTCTATCCCTGTTTGCCAGTTGTGGACCACTTTTAAGTGACCACTGGAGACAGGGAACTGCTCACAGAACATCATCTGAGAAGAGAGGCTGACATAAGGGCTGGTCATTGATGATTTATCATATTTGATCTAATCCTTGTTGTTTCCCTTTATTCGGCTTTTCCAACATGTAAAAAAAAAGTGTTAATTTGCTGCCCAACTCATCCAAACTACTAACATAATTCCATCATTAATAGATATTGAATGATACCACTGTTCTGATTTCTCTCATTATAACTCTTAGTGGTTATAATGTTATGCCTGATTGATGTTTTCTACTATTTCATTAATATTCCTTTTTGAAGTTTTTAAATCTAAAATAATGAGCAGATGGCATGGCAGGTAACTAGATTATAGTCAATATTTTCATTAATATAGAGATGTTATTCATCAATTCAATGAAAATAATTACAACTCAATAAAGATTATATTATTAATGATGATAATGATTAAAAATCAATATTTTTAACCAGTTTTTTATCAGCTCCAAAGCTGCCTGATTAGTTCCATAAAATTAGCAACCAGTTAGTCTTCATTAACATTAGAGAGGGATTTTTAATTCTGTTGCTCTTTTTTTTAAAATTATTTATAGAACATTTCATCATTTTAATCATACAGAGTTTAAGCATTTATAGAGATTTCAAAATGGCAAAATCATAAAGAAAATTAAAAGAAACAATAGAAATGTTTATTAAGTATGAAGTTAAGGTGAACGCTGTTCTTCCTTCCTTCCTTTCTTTCTTTCTTTCTTTCTTTCTTTCTTTCTTTCTTTCTTTCTTTCTTTCTTTCTTTCTTTCTTTCTTACACAAACACACATCGCAATGTCCATTCTCACAAAACATGAATACAAATAGAGCAGCTACGTCATCTGTCAAAACTAAATTAGGGAGATCAGTTCAGTTGTATGTCCACAAGATTCAGGTAATAGTTGCGACGAAGATTGCACACTGATGCCACTGGTGATGCTTTTGGAACAATTCTCAGTCCAAGCACAAAAGTGTAATAAGTCTGAACATTACAGTATCAGTTTATATCAAACCATTTTCGTTTTAGAACTGGAGGTAAATTGAAACATTTCCCTTCAGCAGAAATGCCACAGAACAACCGCTAGGGGTAAATAAGGTATCAATATTAGCCTCACCAGCAGAGAGTTAACATTCATGACTAAAATCTCCATTCATAGTAGTT